TTATTCTGATCCTCAATCCTTAGTTTGGAGACCAATCTGAAATTTTATCAATCAAATCCAAAACTAATTTTTCCAATTCGATCAACTTTACCCATAATAAATTAAGGGGGTGTATTGAATCTTGATTCTATAATATTTTTTGAATTCTAAAAATTAGTAGGTATTCAATTCAAATTTTAAAATATGAGTGTATTCAATTCAGATTTTAAAAGGTTATTAAAAATCTTGATGTATTGAATTGAGATTTTGAAATATACCTTTAAATCCCACTGTATTCAAACGGTTGAATTGATAGATTTCTAAAGATTTTTGGAAAGAAATATTTGCACTAAATAGCATTAAAATTTAAGTCATTTTCCTAAATAGCACTTAAATTGTTTTATTCCCTAAATAGTACTTAATAATGTCCATAATGTCCTGTGATGGCGAATATTTACTTGAATATTGACTAACGCATAATGTCTAAAAGTGCTACATTGGGAAGAAAAAGACATGTGGTGCTATTTAGGGAAAGTCATTATATTTTAGTGCTATTTAAGTAAATTGCTCTTTTTGAAAAGCATGGATTTTGTTGGATTTTAGACTTTGAGTATAATTTTGTCCAGTCCAATGAACCGTTTTATTTTTTTACTGCAAATTTAATTTTGTCTTGAATTTTGAAAAGTCATGAACATGAATTTTAATTAATGCGTGGTTACTCTTGAGACACATAGCTTTGTGACTTTCTATTTGCCAGGGTTTGTGGCAGTTTCTAGCCTTGGGCATTAAAGCTTTTTTGTTTCCTATTTATGTTTCCTGCATGGGCTTGACGAAGAGCTGTGAGCACAAGGAAAAGAAAAAAACTTAACCTCTAGCCGTGTGTTTCTTGTGAGGGATTGTACAACTGATGGCATTTTATGAATTGTACTAGAGGATTTAGAGGGGTTATCTTTGTTCTTATATATTGTATGTGGGTCTAAAATTCGTGTTGTAATCCTAGACGATTAAGTTGTACTTACACTATTTTTAGAGTGGTGGTTTTAACCTCTGTTAAGAGGATTTTTTCGGTTAAAATCTTTGGTCTCATCTCCGTTTTTTGGCTTGAGATTTCTCTCTGTTCTTGGTCTACTAGTTTTTCCTTCCGTTGCATGGGAAGTTTAATTTGGTGCTAAATATCTCAACGAATTTTGTTTAGAGATTCTCCCTAGCTTGACTGAAAAAAGGACCACCCCCAAGGAGGCAAGGATACTGACCGGATGGGACACCAAATTCGCACCTAGCGGGTACATTATTAACTTTTTTTTAATAGGTTGAAAAAGTATGTATGAATAGATATGCAATTGTAACAGAGTCAATTGTAGGCCCAAAGTCATGATGCTCCTGCCAGACTACCGAAATACATGGGCAGATCTTTGTAGCATGAAGGGAAGGGGGTGGGATTTGCCTCCCTTTTACAGTTCCCATAAATTGAGACCTCCATCACATGGCATTGGTCCAATTTTGAGTTTGTTTGTAGAACATCAAAGTAAACTTGCAAGTAAAACATCTGAATCTTTGGTGTATGTTTTACACACCAAATTCTCACCCAATTCTCATTCACATTTTGGTGTTAATTGACAAGCCCATGTAATATGAAGACTTCAGTGTGAAACATCCATCTTTAGAGGGGGCCTAGAAAAAAGAGTCCGAGATGCTGCGGACGCTCAGAGGAATAGTCAAAATAAAGTTTTGGTCTCTATCATTAAATAAGTTAGAAACCATGTCCCTCTTCAAGGAGTGAGAGTCATGGTAGTAACATAAATGGCACAAGAACACAATACTGATCTTGTCCCCTTTTTATCTTCGCATCTTCTTTTTTTAGTTGTCTCTAATTAATCTTACATACAGAGTATATTTTAAAAGCAATTTTTTATGATTTCACATTCTTTCTTTCTATCCTGCGCAAATTTCAAATACGTAATTTTTTTTAAACTTCATGTAAGTCAAAATTAGAAGATTTTTTAGAAACGCATCGAGTGAGGTAATAATAATTTAAAAGCAATATAAAAACTTCTACAAAAGAATATGTGATTTGAATACTTTATTTTAATGAATAACAAACATATCATAAAGGAGTATAAGAAAAGAAAACACAATTTGACTACATAAATAATGAATAATGGGTAACAATTTTATTTGGCATCAATGGAAATGATAACTTAAGTTATACTCCGTAATTACTTCGTAAATAATTTACATACACTAATTTTATAATATGCATTCTCTAAGCATATAAAAAGAAATACATGACTTTCTACAATTTTATTTTCAAGATTTCTTTTGTATTCTTTCATTGATTGGAAGTGTTATTAGACACAATAAAAAATTCTTTTAGCAAAGAATTGAGTATTATGCAATCACTTCGTTTTAAATATGTGTACATCAATTTCACAAAATCCAAGCTCTAAGAATATACAACAAAATAAATGTACGAAATAAGTATAGAGGGAAAATTTCTAGCTATTTCCTTTGTCCCATAAAAAATTGTTACCTTTGAGTTGACAAAACAGATAACAAAAAGTGAAATTATGTGGTTGGAAGTGATGCAAAAGAGAAAGCGCACATAAGAAATTATAAGAGCCATAAACTTTTTTTTCAAAACTAGAGAGTGGAACTTTTTTTGCGGCGGAGGAAAAAGGAGCGTGAAACCTTTTTATGAGAGGCACGGAGTATTGTTTAACTCGTAAATAAACATTTTTCGGATTTATAACAAAACTAGCTACGGATATACTCCGGTATAATTTAGGAACTCGTAAAGGAGTACTTCTTTGGTCCTACGGAATACATCTTTCTTCTCATTTTGAAATGAGGGAAAAACATTTTGAATTGCATGTGATATAACAAACACTATAGCTTCAGGTTTATAATCTAGGAGAACTTGTAAAAAAAGTACTTGTTCTATCTCATACTCCCTCCGTCCCATGAAACCTTTCTCCTTTCTTTTTTATCCATCCCACAAAACCATAGTTTTCAGAACCGAACCGGTGATCGAACCGGTCAAAGGTATTGGTTCATTGGTTCACTGGTTGAACCAGTGGTTTAACTGGTCGAACCGGTGGTTTAAACATATTTTATATATATATATATATATATATATATATATATATATATATATATATATATATATATATATATATATATATATATCTGTGTGTGTGTGTGTTATAGTGGATCATATAAGGATAAAACGACAATCCAAATAATATTGAGGCCCAAAGCTAAAGCCCATACATACGGAGTATCATTAGTCCTTATAGAAAATATACGGAGTACATTGCAAGTGTCTTTAGTTCCCAAGAAATCTAAACGACTAAACCCTACTCTCAATCAAGCTTCCACAGCCGCCAACAAAGTTGCAGCGCTACGCATCTGCTATGGTCGGTTCTCTACCGCCAGTCAACTTCACCATCTTCGCCATGGCGGCCGCCTCATGCATTCATCCGGAGTCATCGTCGATGCTAGCATCCGTCGTCAAAGTGCATCTACCGCCACCAACCGACGCCTACTGATCAGCAAAAATATGGGCGGTTTCTGGTTCGACTATCGGTTCCTACTGGTTCGATGCAGGATACGGTCTAACCCCTTCAACCGGACCGCTCCGGCGACCGGTTCACCGGTTTCCGGTCCGAACCGGCCGGTTCGGTCCGGTTTTTAAAACTATGCACAAAACACTTCTCATTTCTATTAAAAAGTCACTTTTACCCCTTACTTTTTCATACCCTAACTATCACATCATACCTTTTTACTAATAATCTATCCATCAAATCATACTTTTACCCATCACATCAAATGACATTTTTGGAAATTCAATACCAAAATACACTCCTCTTAAATCCGTCCTAAAAAGCAAAAGTCCCATGTTTCATGGGACGGAGGGAATATATTTTTTCTCATTCTAAAATTTGATCTCAAATTATGGAAAAAATATTTTTACTTGTAATATATATATTTAATATTAATAGATTAATTTCATAATATAGTTTTGAAATATCATTCTTTTATCAGATATATGTGTATGCATAAATAGCAATATTAATATGGTTAAGCTATTAGAGCTCTTGAAAAGTTAAATGAGAAGAACGATATAGGAGCGATGTAGTATTATATTTTTATAGTTTTTGGGCAAAGTTATAGCGACACCTATTTTGGGTGTCAAATTGTGACACCGGTCCAATCGAATTGAAAGTTCTACGAGTTGATGATTTATACCCCTCCAGTAAACCTACCACCTCGGCCTGACCCAAACCTACACTCTACCCCCATCATTTGAACTCTCAAAAATTAGTTTTTTTGGGATAAAAATATTTGATTGCGAAGTCAACTAATTTTTGGGGGTTCAATTGACGAGTGTTCTGGGTCGAGCCGATGTAAGAGTTCACCAAGAGTTAAGTATAGTAAGTATGAATTTTTCCCTTTCCCGATCAATGTGCTATTTATCACACCCAAAATGAGAGTAAGCATAACTCCACCGATATTATATGGACAATTTAGCAGTCTAATTTCAAACGAGAAATGAAACATACGATTACGTATAAGTAACAACTAAACAACTAAATTTACTTGCTAAATAAAGAAGAAATTTAAGAAAACAAAAGCACAAATAATTGTGATAAATGCAACCATAACTACATGCACCTACGTACCCACTTGACAATACATGATACCCCATCCGCCCCTTAAAAAATTTCCTATTTTGACTTTTAAAGAATTTAAAAAGAGCGTATTTTGGTGTTGACTTTTTAAAAATGTCCATTGATGTGATTGATAAAGTATGATGAGATGAGTAGATTAATAGAAAAAAATGTGATGTGATAGGTAGGTTAAGAATTGGAATGGGAATAAAAGTGACTTTTTAATAGAAATAGAGAAGTGTTTTTTGGGACAGATGAAAAAGGAAATGAGAAGTATTTTGTGGGATGGAGGGAGTATGATTTTGAACTATAAAATACCCATGCACCCTACCCTTTCATTTATCGCACTCTATTCCTCTCCTATCCATATATCTCTCCAATAATCGTTACTTAATTACACTAGCATAGCTATTATGGCTCTTCGTAATTTCATTACTATTATGCTTGCGAGTGCTATTTTCTTACTAACTATTTCTATTGCTCATGCCTCCGATCCCGGCCCTTTGCAAGACATATGTGTTGCAATCAACGGTGCCAATGAGACTGGTATTTCAACAAATTTTATAATAAGTTTTGTATATATATTCTAAATTACATTTAAAAATTATTCTAAATGATTTTTATATTGAATTAAACTTTAATGTCTTTTGTATATTAATGATAGTTAAAATATACTCCCTCCGGGCTCCGTCCCATAAAGTCCTTCACGTTTTAAAAAAATCATGTCCCTAAAAGTTTTTCTCATTTCTATTAAAAAATAATTTTTACCCCTTACTTTTTATATCATACCTATTACATCATACTTTTTTTCCTAATAATCTAGCTACATATCACATCCTATTTTTACCCATCACATCAAGAGTATTTTTGGAAAGTCAACCTTAAGTCTTATCTTCTTGAATTTCTATGAAAAACAATCAAAATGAAAGATATACTCCCTCCAGTCCTAAAAACATTGGAGTTATTGATTATTTAGAGATTTAAGGGAACTGTATTTTGGTATTGAAATTCCAAAAAAATCCTTTGATGTGATGGACAAAAGTAGGATTTGATAGATAGATAATTAGTAAAAAGGTATGATGTGATAAGTAGGCTATGAAAAAATAAGGGGTAAAAGTGATTTTTAATAGAAATAAAAAGTATTTTTCGGACGAATGAAAAAAGAAAGAAGAAAGGTTTTCAGAAACGGAGGGAATAGTTGTTGTAAGTAACAATTAATCAAAATGAATGGTTACATTCAAGTGATTCAAGGCCAACACAATTGTTATATCCTACCTCGGTTTGAGTGTATTTGTACATGCATTTTGATTTCTTTCAATTCAATCCCGTCGAACTTTAGATATCAATTAAATTAAAATTATAACGTACGAATATATGAGTATAAAGATCTTTTAAAATTGTACTCTCTCCGTCCCTTAAAACTCTTTCTGTTTGAAAAAAGCAAACCTTTAAAATGAGTAATTTTGGTATTATTTTCTAATTATGACTCATCTATCACACACATCTCATTCTACATTATTATAAAGTAAGGACAAAATTAGAAAATAACACCAAATTCAAATTACTCATTTTAAGGATGCACCTTTTTTAAAACAGGAAAGATTTTATGAGACGGAGGGAGTATTTCATTGTATGAATTAATATGCAATATGAATTGAAAGTAATTGATGGTTAAATTTGTATTACTACAAATTTAATAGGCTGAGACGGATATAATATACTCCCTCCGTCCCATAAAACATGGGATATTTTGTTTTTTGAAGAGATTTAATGGGAGTGTATTTTGGTATTGAATTTCCAAAAATGTTCTTTGATATGATGGGTAAAAGTAGGATTTGATGGGTATTATTAGTAAAAAGGTATGATGTGATAGGTAAGGTATGAAAAAGTAAGGGATAAAAGTGACTTTTTAATAGAAATAAAAAGTGTTTTTGGAGACGGATGAAAAAAGAAAGTAGAATGGTTTTCAGGAGCGGATGGAGTATATAATTTTTATACAGAAGCACAACTCAGCTAAATTTAATTTGCTACTGTACAATTCTGGAGTCGAGGGATGTTAAACCCTTCATTTTTATACTCCACGATACTTAAAAGTATTTCCATCCATGACCATTTGTCCAATTTTAATTTTTTGTAGTTAATCAATTTTAACTTTTGACTTATAATAAAATAAAGTATATATTGTTTATGAATTAAATAAAATAATATTTTTAAAATATTTGATATAATAAATCTAATAAAATTATTTTGTATGAATATCTAATATTAGTTTTATTTAATTTGAAATTAAAACTTACCAATTTTACCTAAAAAAAATTAAAAATGGACAAATAATCTGCCATTTCCCTTTTTCGGGCTTCCGCTAGGTTTGAACCTTGGCTAGAAGTCAAACACTTGTCATACGGAGTATCATGTTGGCCTTTCATCCGCTTGACGAAGGAGTGTTTTTTGTTGAAAAAATATCCTAAATAGGAGTAAGATATAGAAAAAATACTCAAATTGGATTCCATGTTTTTATTCTCAAATTGGAGTCTGCAATGTGGTATTGTACATGTGCATTTTACTATACTTTTCAATAATATACATGATAATAATTGGTTATATAAATAGTTTTAAAACCTATTTCAGAAATAAAAACATAGAAATTCTATTTTCGTATATTTTCAATGTTTTATTCTTATTTTAGTCTTTTCCCCTTTTTTGGTATGTGGGTGGAGAAGGAATAATATTACAACATTTTTTACAACAAAAATTAAAATATTCGTATCTTTTTATGGACTTTTTTCTGTGTGAAACCAAAGTAGGTTTTTTTAATGCGAGGTTGATGTAGCTTTGTTAAAATTAGTTTTTTTGGGTTCATGGTTTCAACCACTCTAAGTACACTAAAGTGCATGTTTTTGTTTTTCTATATTGGTTAGTGTTCGTGAATGGAAAAATATGCAAGAACCCTGTGGATGTCGTAGCCGAAGATTTCCTCTTCCAGGGCCTCAACGTCCCCGGGAACACGTCGAATCAACTCGGATCGGCGGTGACCGCCGTGAACGTGAATAATCTGCCCGGACTTAACACCCTCGGTACATCGTTCGCACGTTTGGACTTTGCGCCCAACGGAATCAATCCTCCCCACACCCACCCGAGAGCAACCGAAGTCTTCTCTCTACTGGAAGGCACGCTCTACGTTGGATTTGTGCTCTCCAACCCCCCGCCCGGGATGCAAAACAGGCTAATCACCCGAACTCTCGTAGCGGGGGACGTGTTCGTGTTCCCCCAAGGCCTCATTCATTTTCAGTTCAACATTGGGAACACGAGTGCTCTGGCTTTCGCAGGCTTCAGTAGCCAAAATCCCGGAGTTATTACTATCGCCAACGCGGTCTTTGGTTCAAACCCGCCCATCAATCCCAATGTTCTGGCTAGAGCTTTTCGTCTGAGCGGGAATCTGGTCCGAAATCTGCAATCACAATTCTGGGTCAATAACAATAGCTAGATATTTGTAAAACATCAAGCTTATCTAATATGGAGTACATGTATAATACAATACTACCTGTGTAAATACTCAAACTGTTGGGGCTCTTGGAATATACAATAAAATGCCCCTACCACACAACATAACTCATGCATGGTTGAAAGGATTGTAATGAAATAAAGTACTCTAGGATCAAATAATGTAGTTTGGTATGTAATAATATGCGTACTTATAAATAATTAAAGTTTTGGTTTGTTATGTAAATAATTATTTATCTTTCTTGATAAATACTGGTTGTATATGTATCTCATTATGTTGTATATCTTATTATGTTAGGCTTCTAAAATGACAACCCTCTCCCTCCATCTTCTTCGACTTATAAACCTGGCAGCTAGTACCCAGATTCAATGAGGCAACCTACTTGTAGGATGAAGTATGTCAGAGTAGGGGTGTCGTGCTAATATTTCACCGAGTCTCATCTGTTTTTATTTAAGACAGTGACTTTCAAAAATGATAAGGGTAGCACGTGTTAAATGCTTTATGATTCTTGAACATTAATTAGACAAGTTGGTCTTAGTTATGTAATCAAGATACTTCGAAGAGAATCAATTATGTTAGAGCGAACCGTGGTCGCTTTAGACGAAGGATTCAAGGCCTGGTCCTCAAAATACTGTCGTAAAACCGGGTGTGATGGTTTTTAGCACACCAACTATGGAAGTACAAAGAAATTAAGCGTAATAAAAGATAAAATCTCAGAAATATGCTCTTAAAAATACTTGTATTAACTTGATTAAGCTTTGGTAACAATGAAGGATTCATCCTCTAATTATAGTCTAATATTGCTACGCACATGGCATGTAATTTGTGAGCTACATTATTGACATGGTCGAGAAATCATTTTTCAATTACCCTCAATGAGTGGGATTGCACTCCACTTATATATCCGAACGGGATTGGTGGATCTGACCCCCCCGGTGGCGCCTCCTACGGTCCACTAGCATTACGACTTATCCATGATGTGAATTTGACATTTAATTGTGTTGGGCATTGAATAATATGTTTGGGCATACTCATTTTACTCGCTGAGCCCGATATTCATCATTACAAGCCTCCTAGTTTCTCTAGTGACGTGTCACTAAGAACCTAATGATGTACAACCCCGTGTGTCGGATAGGAAACGACACCAACATTGCATGCACACTATCTCGAGTTATGTATTATAACGTCTATTAACGCCCGTTGTGCTAGTCGATGTGCCCGCGCCTTAGAGGGAGGATGAATAAGGCGTTCAAAAACTTTTTCGAAGTTTAATGAAATTGGGGTTTCTGAATTCACTAAGTCCCAGCCTCTTGAACTCCGTCAAAGCACCTACTATATTTTTTACAAACAACCCTTGCCAATTCATAATACAATACTATCTGTGTAAATACTCAAACTGTTGGGGCTCTTGGAATATACAATAAAATGCCCCAACCACACAACATAACTCATGCATGGTTGAAAGGATTGTAATGAAATAAAGTACTCTAGGATCAAATAATGTAGTTTGGTATGTAATAATATGCGTACTTATAAATAATTAAAGTTTTGGTTTGTTATGTAAATAATTATTTATCTTTCTTGATAAATACTGGTTGTATATGTATCTCATTATGTCGTATATCTTATTATGTTAGGCTTCTAAAATGACAACCCTCTCCCTCCATCTTTTTCGACTTATAAACCTGGCAGCTAGTACCCAGATTCAATGAGGCAACCTACTTGTAGGATGAAGTATGTCAGAGTAGGGGTGTCGTGCCAATATTTCACCGAGTCTCACCTATTTTTATCTAAGATAGTGACTTTCAAAAATGATAAGGGTAGCACGTGTTAAATGCTTTATGATTCTTGAACATTAATTAGACAAGTTGGTCTTAGATATGTAATCAAGATACTTCGAAGAAAATCAATCCTGTTAGAGTGAACCGTGGCTGCTTTAGATGGAGGATTCAAGGCTTGATCCTCGAAATACTATCGTAAAACCAGGTGTGATGGTTTTTAGCACACCAACTATGGAAGTACAAAGAAATTAAGTGTAATAAAAGATAAAATCTCAGAAATATGCTCTTAAAATACTTGTATTAATTTAATTAAGCTTTGGTAACAATGAAGTATTCATCCTCTATTTATAGTCTAATATTTCTAAGCACATGGCATGTAATTTGTGAGCTACATTACTGACACGATTCAGCTATGGTTGAGAAATCATTTGTCAATTACCCACAACTAGTTTTCTACCCCGTGCTTCGCACGGGCTCGTGATTTATGCTGAGTGTTGTATTCGTTTTTTAAATGTATATTTGTATATTTGATGGACAAAATAGATGAATACTCACAGGCGTAATGTTTTGTTCGAGTAGAAATAATCATTTCTATAAGTTACTTCTCATTTTTTAAAGAACTCTAGATTCAAGATATTGAATAGTGTTGTAGTTTAATTTTTTAAAAAACAATTTTATTTATAAAATGTAGAAGAGTGTAGGAACCATGTAGAAGTCCATAAGAAGGGAAAAGAAATAGCAAGAGAGATAGAACTGAAGTCCCTTTGAACTAAAAGAGGAAAAAAGGAAAAGAAAAAAATCCAGCATTATAACCAAATTCCAACTCTCGTGTTCCAACGACTACAACACGACAGCGCCAATTATCTCATCCCAAAATAATGAATAAAGGAAAAATTGTCATATAATAGCCAAACAAACCAAAAAACATCCTTAGATATATTCAAACTTATGAAACTCAAGTGTAGTTCCAACAAAGGACAACCCGGTCAAAATTTGAGTATAGATTTTGGTACCAAGGTGTAGCAAACAACAGTTGTATATACATCCTCCAACTTCATCACCAATAATTTAGGCAAACCTAAGACTCTTCGAAGCAAAGAGAAACAGAATCAAACTAAAATAGAAGTTGCACAACCAAACAGAATTAAACTTTTACAGAACTAATACCAATTTTCCTTTTTTCACATGTTCAATATGTAATTATCTATAGTAAACCAAAAAAAGTTGACTCTGTGAAGACATGCAAATGATATTTAACAGCTAAACCCTAACACTAATAAAGATCTGTATTCATAGATTGTAAAACCATGTGATTGGGTTTGAAAAAGAGTAAATGAGAAAATGAGTACTTTTCCAGCCAAATGTCATTGATATTGAACTGCCAAGAGACATTATACCTACTTTTACAACATAAACATTTCAGTCTTGAGTTGTGTTTAGAGTAATAATGTTTTTCAACAAAACTAACTTCAATTTCTTCAAAAATACATGTGATATATGAGAGTAAATTCATTTAAAAGCTAGAATTCAGTTTTGAAAATGAAAACACACGTAATTACCACTGATCAAGGGTATCTTCTTTTTTTTTCTTTGATTAGCACTTTGGTAAATGCAATTAACAAAGAATCTCATGCAGACCAAATTTTTTTAAGGCAATTGATTTTGAATTATAATTCTTCTATTATGAACTTGAGGCTTCAGAGTTGTGGAGCATTTTCTTGGAATATCAAATATGGGTTAATAAATTTGCAGTTGGGTAGGTGTTTCATCATTCAGTCAGTATAGCATAGACGCTTCTACGAAATCAATTATTCAACCAATAAGCAAATTAAATTCACCAACCTTAATTCTTTGTATAGCAAATATGCTCCCAACCCCTCAATGGAATAACCCAGCTGTGCAAAAAAAAATGGGAGTGAGAATAATGAATATGTTGTTGAAGGCATGTGCATTATTTTTCAATAGAACATTTAAGTTTAGCATTGCAAAAAATAATTTGACAAAAGAAAGAAAGAAAAGGATCCATGAAAAATACCTGCAATTTGTTCCATGAAAGTTGAATATCTAGGTAATAAGTGGTGTATTAAATAGATGAAAACAAATCAACTCACCTCTTCCTTTTATCGTGTCAAACACCTTTGAGATGTGAAAATAGATTCTCGTAATCTCAGAGTATAATATGAAATTGAAATGAAAAAAAATGCAAAAAGAAAGAAAAGGATCCATGAAAAATACCTGCAATTTATTTTTCTACGTATCTCACCTCTGCTTCACTATATGCTCACACCTGTTTCTCACGAACATCCTTATATATTACAAACAAAGGAAGAAAATCAACCTAGACAGGTAGAAAATCTCAAATAAATGACAACCTGGGCAGGCGGAAAAACTCAAATAATGATGTATCTTAATTGCGAGTAATTGGGAGGAAATTTACAAACCTGACGTTACACCATTAATTGTAGCGAGGTCGAACTCCTCATGTGAAAAACCAGTAACTCCATTGCAACAGAAATTAGAAGAAACTCAAACGCAAATTATAATTGTGTGTTGGACGTCATCCAGTGAATCCACCTGCCTTTAGATTCAGAGTTATGCATCAAAAATGTGGTTTGTTTTTGCCTATTTATTTACCTTCTGTGATGTGTGAGTGATTTGCTTCAAAGGGAGGCATTATATCTTTGCCTTAATTCAACATAGAATTGTGAGTGATAACATGCAAAATTTAAAATTAATATCCCTAAACCAAATCAAACGAATGGGGAACATGGGTCTTTTTGCGTGAACAAATTTTTACCCCGTGCTTCGCACGGGCTAGGTATATATTCACGTGTCTATGGAGTATGTTCATGTGTCTATTAATTAAATGAATTTATCTAGAACCTTTATAGACATACAAAAAGGGTTCTTTGAATGAGAAAACAATGTCCTCCAAGGTTCAAATTAATGAGAAGGTTCCTAAAAAGTATAATGAGTAAATTGCAAAGTCTTGAAATCGGAAGTAAATAAAGAGGAGAATGACAAATTCTAGATTTTGAGATTTTTCTAAATCCAGGGGTTGAAGCAATGCTTCTCATCCCATCTTCTCCCTACACTCTTTATGAACTACTCAATCCATCTCATATCTTTTTTCCCAAATTTCACATTTTTTTCACTTGTTTTTTAAATTTCCACTTTTCACTTGTGAAAATTATTTTGCGGGCCTTATTATAACTTCTCTTCTCTGCATCTTTTTAATTACACAATTCCGTTTTTATAGGATAGAAGGAGTATGACTTCATGATACATTAGAAATTGAATGAATGTAGAAACATTTTAAATCTATATTGATTCGTCTAATTTGTAAATATAGCTACTGCACAAATGGTAAACCAATGGAAAAAGGAAGCATACTTTTAAAACAAAGCATCTATCACAAACTGATGATATCGCAGGCCTAGGAAAACTTAATACTTTATGTGGGAATTTGCAATTCTATTAGGTTTGGGTAACAAAAAATTCTAAATGTATATAAAGGTGCTAGAGCAGGGGCATTAGAATGAAGGCACCATTTTATTCCAAAGACAATAGATTTAAATAAAAACATTGTAGTAGTTCCATAGCAGCTTATACTTTTGTTCAAATGGGTTCAAGATATGGTTTACTTTAAGTTGTATTAGTCTCATGTATATTTAAGGTATACTTGTCTCGTGTATATTTATAATAAATCAAACAATTTAATGCTTTAAGAGTCAAAAGTTTTACAATGATAACTATGCCAAACCTTCAATGTCTCGTTTTTTTGGATTGTCATCCACGGGATCCATTGATTCACTACTGCAGTTGAACTTTCTCCAATGCTACTCATCAACCAAAAGGTATATGTAAATCATACATTAGGCGGGAAAGCATAATTACCGAAGACCAAGCTAAACTGATGACCTGAATCCTATCAGGTTTGAATTCACAGAAACACGTAGTATGAATGTAATAGCTAAATAAAGTCATAGCTCTAAGCAATGTAATGGTTTGTAATCTAAACGAATAAGTAAACTTGTAAAATCTCAGCTGCTCCCATTGATACTTCTTTATGTGAAGCATTAGGTATATGGTTAATTATTGTACTTGAGTTTAATGCGAAGTATATTTAATACTCCCTCTGTCCCTGAGTATTTGTACACTTTTGATTTTTTTGGTAAAATTTGGTAAAAATTTGATGTCAAATTAAACAAAAATGATATCAAATATTAATTAGAAAATAACTTCATTAGATTTATTATATCAAATATTTTCAAAATATTTTTATCTAATTAACATAAAATATATATTATTTGATTATAAGTCAAAGATTGAAAATAATTAACCAAAAAAAGTCAAAGCAGGACAAATACTCAAGGACGGTAGTAAAAAAGAAGATGAAGTTGGTTAAAATGGCATTAAAAAAATCATATCATAAATGAGTAGTAATCAACTTTTAATATAACTAAAATGGGCACAAAAGTAATTTTAAATACATAATGTACAACTAACTTAAACAAAATAATGAATAAATATTTAATGTGTTGTAATTAACTATACTCCATTTTAAACCACTCTCATAGTGTTGATACATAAGAATTAATATCTTAATAGGTACAAACTTAGAATACCCCCATTTTCTCCTTTATGTGGCATTCAAGCTAAGGTAACAGCAGGCTGCCCTTTTTCTTCTTAGCCTACTCATCGAAAAGAATGAACTTCATTCAACCAGTTTTATATATCTTTGACAGGGAACATATGATTTTTTAATGCAGTGTTTAGATTGATCTTTACAAAATTTACAAAACTTTCAAGTGATCCATCATCATCTCAAGATATTAGACACTCAAAGAATTGAACAATGACTATATCGAATATAAACATGTAGAACAAAACTTAACCATTGTATATAAATATGAAAAAAAGTCATAATAAACAAATGTTTGGTAGCCCATATATACCTTGGTATATGGTGCTGTGACGGGGTTGATTTAGGATCCAGTCCTCGCTACATCTCTTTTGTAGATGCCTTTATAATGTGGTAACATCTAGGGGGAATCTCTGCTATATATGTCGGGAGGAGTAAAAGCAGGGATAGATAAGAAGAATGCATTTTGTTAGTCATGGCCATGCCACCGTGTTTGATAGAAAAATCAACATTGATGAAAGCATAAACAAATGGAGGACTTCCAAAGATGCACTGAGCCAACCTATTTTTACAAAACCATCTAAGACCACAGAAGTATTGCATAACCACAGATGCATCATGCATGTAAGCAGTGATGAAAGCAGTCCTTGTACTCTAGGTTAGCTCTGATGCTTAGACAATGGAAATAAACATTAGATGATGCAGTGTTTATATTATTGTCAAAGTATACATTTGGTCAAAATATATACCTAAGTTGAGACTAAAATAGCCTCATTATTTAGACTATAAAAACCTACATGGTGTGGTCAAAGTATACATTTAGTCAAAATATAGAGCTTAAGTTGAGACTAAAACAGCCTCATTATCTAGACTATTCGCTACAGTGGGGCGTCCCTCGTGCAGGTCACTGATGATGAGCTTAGGTAAATGTGGGGCGCGCACATGCCATGTTGTTCGTGGCAGCATCACGCTTGAGGCCGGCTAAATGTCATTCTTATAATGTTCAAAACCACCTTGAGATGTTCAAAAGCATTCTACCTCAATGGTCCACTCTAAGTAGGTAACATGCACTTTTGATGGGCATGAGCAAAGTGAAAATCAAGTTTGAAGAGAAAAGAAGGTTAATATTGATAATCATATGACTACCACTAAGAGAGGAAGGTATTATAAGAAATTGGAAACCATTCAAGGTCAGGCACAAAAGGAAAAATATCAATTGGCACAAAAATTTAAAAATCAGTGTGTGATATTCTAATTAAACTCACCATTATATGCAGAAGTGCTATTGAAAGATTCAAAAAAATTCTTCTCATTATATGCAAGTCCCCAATGGCTCGGGGTAGGACCTACAATATATATAAGCACATCCTCTCTAATACATGTCCTTCGAGAATACCTGAAGCGTAGCAAGTGAATATTGGTTTATGAAATATTTAGAGCGGAGATATTAAGTGCACAATACACTGATTTATATAACCAAGGGGTAGTTACAGAGCAAAACAATGAGCGCGCAATAGCCTTGTATTTGAAAATATAGTCTAATAAATATTTTTTAAAGAAAGAAATTTTATTGAACAAAAGAGAACAGGGGAGGACTAAATCCCTCAAGAAAAGTAAAAAAAAAAATTAAAACATTCTAAGAGCCAAAAATAAAAGGCTAAGATATAGCTCCAAACCTTGAGCACAAGTTCCCCAAGATGAAATTCAACCACTGTAGCGAGGATCACATGCTTACACGCTTCAAAGAGAAACCTCTGGCGTCAGAGGAAACATCATCGCTGTTATCCAAGCTTAAATCAAGATGGAAAGAAAAATCATTACCATATGAATTGGGCTCAGAAAATTAAAAGGCACTGGAACTCGGCTGGAAAAAACACCTAGTACTTCAATCAGATCTCAATTTGAGAAAACAAACTAAAATAAAAATAAAATTCAGTACAATAATAAACTAATAAATCACATGTTGTCAATAGAAAAAGTAACAGTAATAATCACATGGCCTACTATCCGTCTCGGATTACACTTTCGGGTTGAAAAGTCGTAATACCTTCGAATAGAAAAGAATAGAGTTATGCCAAAATTTAAATTAATGAATGATGAGGAAGAAAAATTATACTTGTACCCCAAGGTGAAAGAACCTGCAAAACAATCAAATCGATGTAGGTATGAATACAAAGAGACCTAAGCTAATACAACACATCCTAGCAACGAAGCAATTGGTAAGTAATTGAAAAGATCTTCATTTTTTTCCAGAAATATCCTAAAATTGAATTTGTGCAGGTAAAACAGTTTAAAAATAACAAACCTTAATGGGAGATTGGAGGAGACTGAAGACAAATCCCACGGTCCACTCAGCGACGGAGCATGTCAAGGAGGAGGTCCCTTGGGGAGAACGACCATAGTCTGGGGAGTGAGTAGGCTCGTCTCTACCCCGATGTGGTCCGGCGAAGAAGATGAATCTTTAGGGAGGCGATGAGGAACAAAAGTTGCAGATGCCTAATTTACAAAGTAATAATTGAAGAGGATGATGGAAGATGAAACTATTGAAACGTCTGCATATGGGGAAGAAGAAACGAAGCAAAAATAGAAGTGCAATTCCAGCTGTATAATGATGCCTACGTGTAAGTGCCATGTCACTGGCCACGTGGCAACACCACATGCAAAAACCCTACTTTATATATATATATATATATATATATATATATATATATATATATATGATGAGTGGGATTGCGCTCCACTTATATTTCTAAACGAGATTGGCGGACCGGACCCCCCGATGGCGCCTCCTTTGGTCCACTAGCATTACGACTTATCCATGATGTGAATTCGGCACTTTAATTGTGTTGGGCATTGAATAGTATGTTTGGGCCTACTCATTTTACTCGATGAGCCTGATATTCATTACACGCCTCCTAGTCTCTCTAGTGACGTGTCACTAAGAAACTAATGATGTACAACCCCGTATGTCGAATAGGAAACGACACCAACATTGCTTGCGCACTATCTCGAGTTATATATGTATTATAACGTCTATAAACGCCCGTTGTGCTAGTCAATGTGAAGGTGTTCAAAAACTTTTTTGAAGTTTAATAAAATTGGGGTTGGCAAACGCGGAAGCAATAAATAAAATGCAGAACCTTAAGACTCATCTTTAAGGATTTTTGAATTTACTAAGTCCCAGCCTCTTGAACTCCGTCAAAGCACCATGCTAGATTTTTTACAAACAACCCTTGCCAATTCACAATGCTATCTCGAACTACATACAATGAAGATTTGAAGGCTATCTTCTACCTTTTTCCCACAAGAATTTGAAGGCTATCCTTGAAGATTTTAACCAAGAATTTCCTGGCTATCCTTTATCATTAAAACTGAGAACTTAACAGCTATTCTCGACCGTAAGAATGTGTGTTTTAGAATACAAAATAAGTTCTACACAACGGATTAACACAATGATAAAGAATAAGACTTAGCTGGTGTAAAACAAAAAATACTCTCTATGAAAGATACAATATCAACCTATGAATGTGAGAGTATATATCTAAACCACAAGTTCAATAGTAAGTTATAAAAATCAGGAGAAAAAGACTCTTGAAATAATTAAAATAATAAGAATGAATAATAAGAACACAGTTGAAATAAGAAAAATATGATGTTTGGCCAGAGATTGGATTGTTTTTAAAAATTTAAGGGTTAAGCCCATATTTATGGTGAAAAATATTAGTGTCCGTTTATGGCCGTTGGAGATTAAATAGGAGTACTAATGGATGATTAGATTTGTTGAAAATCAAAATCAAGATTTACTCCGGTGAGATGACACATTATGGTATCAGTCAGATGACGCTGGAGCTCACCACTAACCACTACAAAACTCACCACTGATCACTCTCCATTTCAAAGCTCACCATGATTTTTCAACACTTTAATTTTTTATTTTCAAAATATGATGGTTAAATGCTCACAAAGTCCAGCAACAAAGCTCACTAACTCTCATTGCAAAGCTCACCGAATATGTTTCTCTTTTAAGTTTAAAATGACTTCGAAAAAACAAAGTGCGGTGGTGCTGACATCCAACCGCTGAAGACTGCCGCCGTGGACCGGTGGTTGACTGGTAGTGCTATTTTATTACCTTTTTGTTTTTTTAAAAAAGTGGTGAGCTTTGCATTGACACTTGGTAAGTTTTAAACTTTGACCACCCATGACCATTGGAAACATCCGATAACCCCCACTGTCGCCGTGGACCGGTGGTTGACTGGTAGTTGAATGGTAGGGCTTTTTTTAACTTCTTTTATTTAAAAAAATGGTGAGCTTTGCATTATTCCTTGGTGAGCTTTCTATTAGCAGTTGGTGAGCTTTGAATTAGCAGTTGGTGAGCTTTACACTTTTGATCGCCCATGACTACCGGTGACCCCACTATTGCTGTGGACCAGTGGTTGAGTAGTGGTTGACTAGTGGTTGACCGATTGTGCTATTTTGTTTTTTAATTCAAAAAGGTGAGTTTGTTGTTCAGAGTGGTGAATTTTGTGTTGCGTTTCAGTGAGCTTTGTGTTATGTCGTCTGATTGAAGCATGTCATCTTACCATAAGGTGTCATTTCACTTGAGTCTATATATATATATATATATAATGAAATACTACCTCTATCCCTGAGTTTTTTTGTATTTTTGAATTTTTTCAGTCAACCGTTTTTAACCTTTGACATATAATTAAATAAAATATATAATGTATATTAATTAGAAAAAATTCTATTTTGAAAATATTTTATTTAACAAATCTAATAAAACTATATTTGTATCAGTGTCTAATTCTCCATCCGTTCTAGTGTATTTGTCCGGTTTGATTTTTTTGAGTCAAATTGGACAAACTTTAAACTTCAATTAAATAAAAACCAGAATGTATTTTAACATAAAATGATTTTATTGGATTTATCGTATCGAGAATTTTCAAAATTATATTTCAAAGTTGAGAGTAATTAGAGTTCAAAGTTTGTCTAGTTTGACTTCAAAAAGTCAAACTGAACAATTACACTAAGACAGAGGTAGGATCATTTTTAGTTAGTTTGGGGTTAAAGTTTATCAATTTTGATCAGAAAAGTCAAAAATGGAAAAATACTTTTGGACGGAGGGAGTTATTAATAAAAGTACATAAATATATAAAAATTGCCGGAAAATTAGATTCCCTCAATAATAATAATGAATTTGACTATTATTTTGAGAGATTATTTGGAATCTATGCATTATGTAAAATCTGTGGATTGTTTTAATTCAATACAGAGTTAGATAAATTTCAATGCACTTTATCTACAAGATTTTATAAGATTTTTTTTGGTTGTTTAAACTTTAAAATATACAGATTATGTGAGTTCATTATTTTTTTAAATTGTGAAAAAATTAGAATTTTTAGTAAATTTTTCTAAAACCATTAATTATTTATAAAATAAAAAAATAGGATATAAAATAAAAAGGATTATAGAATAAGATTAAAAAAACTATACCTTGAAAACTAAAGAAAAGAGGAAGAAATACTGGGTGAAGTGAAAAACACTTCATACAATTCTTATAATTTTCTTTACACAAACAAAATACTCCATACAATTTGACTTCTCAAAGAAAGTACACCAGATTCAAAGTACGAAGAAGCACGTTGGTGAAATACAGCAGATTTGAAAGCACACCAGATTCGAGATATACTACAAATCCTTTGTGATAGAGAAGATCCTTGAAGATGACTCTGAGTGAAAAGCACGAAGGGGACGATAAAGGTTGAACCTGAAAGACCTATGCTTATTCAAGCACGAAGGAGAGAAGGAGACAGACGAAGGTTGAAGGAGCGCAGGAGTCTTGCAGATCGATTAGGATGGGTGAAGGGAATTGACAAATCTTTATTTTTTCTGGTACATTTGTAATTAGATTTTTATTTATACTCAAGCCCCCAAAATCTTTCATAATCCATGCTATATGAAAATCTTTGAAAATCTACAATTTTTTAAATACCCTTAGATTTAGAAAAATATTTCAAAATCCTGATTGAATATACTCATAATATAAATGACTTTTTAAAATTTTAATTGAATACATTCAAATTTTAAGAATGATTTTAGGGTGGCTTAAATAAGTATGGATTAAAAAAAACAAGGGGGCGGTTGATAATGCCTGACAATGTAGGATGACCCGGGAGCGCTCCGATGTCCCGTTCATGAAATTAATAGTTCCTACCCCTAACTCCCTGGTAAACCCTCCAGCTAGCCCCGACGCGAACACACCCTCACCCCCTTCAATTGCACTCACAAGTTGATTTTGATTTTGAAGTCAAATTTTGACTTTAAAGTCAAAATCAACTTCTAGGGTGCAATTGAAGAGGGTGAGGGGTGTGTTCGGATTGGAGCTGGCTGGAGGATTTACAAGTGAAGCTAAAGGAAGTACGAACCGTCAATTTTACGAATAGAGCATCGGAGCACTCCGGATCATCCTATGACACAAGAACCCCAACACTTACGCTGTGTTTGGTTTGAGATAGGTGAAGGTAGGGTGAGGTGAGATTTAGGAGTTACCTTGTTTGGGAAATCAAATAGGGGAAGGTAGCCGAAGGTAGGGGGAGGTAGCCTAGCTGCAGAACAGTGCAAAAAACCCGCCCGCTGATTCAGCGGTAACTCAAGGTAGGTTTTGCGTTTCCCTTCCGTGTCCTCTTTCTTCCTCTTCTTCTTCTTCTTCTTCTTCTTCTTCTTCTTCTTCTTCTTCTTCTTCTTCTTCTTCTTCTTCTTCTTCTTCTTCTTCTTTAGCGACTGTTTCTTCTTTTCAGATCTGATCTCCTCCAGGCCTTCAAACCCTATTGATTGTCGACGGCTTTCTTCCTGGTCGATTTTGCTTTCTTTCTCTGATCCCCACTGCCGATTTGATTTTGCTTTCTCCCCACTTCTTCAAAGTTCAAACCCTTTCTCCGATCCCCACTGCCGATTTTTTTCTTTTTTTATTTTTTCCCTGTTTTTTAATCATTGAAATTGAAATAGACTTTTTCTCCTTGTTTTTTTTTGGGTTTTTTTGCAGTTTTCCCGTTTTTTGTTTTATTTTTTGCAATTTCTTTTTATTTTTGGAAAAAAATAAGGGCATATTAGTAAATTTGTTATTCTGCCTACCTCACATTACCTAATAAACATCCAAATACAATTTTTTAACTTGTTACCTTACGTTACCTACCTTCAATTACCTACCTTCAATTACCTACCATTACCTACCTAATAAAATTTTTACCTACCTCCAACCAAACATACTCTTAGGGTATGTTTGGTTGGAGGTAGGTAAAAGTTTTATTAGGTAGGTAATTGTAGGTAATTGAAGGTAGTTAAAGTAAGGTAATGAGTTAAAAAATTGTGTTTGGATGTTTAATAGGTAACGTGAGGTAGGAAAAGAATAAAATTACTAAAATATCCTTATGGTTGTTTTTTCTTATTTCTTTAGGATGTATTTATATGACTACAAATCCACCGAGCCAGAATGTCATCTCCAAGGAAAAATTTATATTGAAAAAAAACAAATAGCTAAAAAAAATGAAAAACAAAACAATATATTTCAATAAATATTGAAAAAATAGGTAAAGAAAAGGCAAAAAACATAAAAAATGATATTAAAATACATAGCAAAAAATGGAAAAAACAGCTAAAAATCAGGAAAAAAACATAAGAAAAAACGGCAAAAAAATAAAACGAAAAAAAAAGCAAAAAAATCCCCCAAAAATTATTAAAACAAAACCGGAAAAAACATAAAAAAACCAGAAAAAACAAAGCATGTTAATACAATAATTAGAAAAAAACACAAAAACAGAAAAAAAAAAAAAAGAAAAGCAAAAAAAGGAAAAAAAATTGAGACCTCACCTTATGGCAGAGGGGGCCAATCACAGAAAGAAAGCAGCGGCAGAAATTTTACAAGGAAGCAGCGGACAATCGGCGATGGGAGAGGAAGCACTCGCAGGAAAAAAAGAGAAGGGCAGAGCAGCGGAACAAAAAATTCTACCTTGGTTGCTCGCCTTTTTCCGCGGATCCAGATTTTACACTGTTCTGCGGTCACCATACCTCGCTCCACCTCCTCTTACCTTCCTTAATTTTTTCTCCCAAACAAGGTTTACCTCATTCTACCTCACCTTAGCTCAAACCAAACACAACGTTTGTAAAAGTAAGGGAAGGGCAGAATAGTCTATGCGACAAGTAAAATATAAATAGCGAGTTCACAAAGTTGGGAATGCATGAAGAGAGAGAAACAAGGATTGATAGCGAGCCGAGTCTCCCTCCTCTCACACCTCAGTCGGGCAGCTTCCACCACCGCCTCCCTGCGCTGCGCCGGAAACGAAAACCAGTCCTAACCTCAAAGCTCATATCGTACATCTCTCTAATTCAATCTGTTTACATTTGAGTAAATATAGCTATCATTTGCCCCTCTGGCGGGAATCGTGTTTATTCTTTACCGCAATGCAAAGAATAGCTTATTTTCGGGATTTTGTATTTTCAAATTTTGTCTATAATTTACGAGATTTTATCGTCAATTTCTTGATTTTCGTAGGCATTGTAGTTGAATTGCCCGGAATGCCATTGTATAAAAGGAAGCCATTTGCTTTGTTGGAAAAACCCACCGATTTGAACCCCAATGAGGAGGTCTTCCAAGTCAGATTCACAAAAGAAATCTTTAGGGATTATGGGTAAAGTCTTAATGTTCTTCTTTTGTTAATAATTGGTATCTGTTTTATATGTAGCTGCTAGAAACTGAATTGGATTTTTGTTGAAAATTTAAAATTTTAGTGATTATTTGAAGCGGATGAATATGTATCAACAAAGGGTATGGTCATGCAAATTGTCAGGGAAGAATTGCTTGACCTATGAGGAAGCGCTCCTTTCAGAGAAGGAGTCTGGTGAAGAATTGCAACTGTTTCCCAAGGAACTTCTAGCCCCTGTACTTCGAGATCTTCAATTCAGTAATTCCATAACTTCTTGGTTATAACTTTGAGTTTCCATTTTTTAATTTTGCATTTCTGGGATCCCTGATGAGGAAGTTTTGCATACAACCTTCCAAATAGATGTATTCTCAAAAGCAATACTCAGCACAATTCTAGGTGAATCACAAACTTCAAACCAAAAACACTTCTGTCGTTTAGGATGATTATGATTGTGGAGGACTTATGGATGAAATATTTGGATAATTTGAATATTTCAAATGAGTCTTTGTTCTTTTCCCCACAACAGTTGGAAAGTTTTTTTATTGCCACATATATGCAATTATGCATTGTGCTCAACACAATTTCCAAGCATGTAAGCATTGTGAGCTTATTATATTTCGGAGTTTATGCATGAAACTCCAAGTATGTTATACTCTGAACACTGTGTAGATTTAAAAATGAAGTGTATTCTGGTGTAATTATGGAACTGCTAAGTTAGATGGCCTTTTTTTGTTTTCTGTATTGGCGTGTTGAGTGACACATCTATGTTGCTTGACTTGCTTCAAACATGAATTTTAAGCAAATCTATCTTATCTTTCAGTTGTCATTTCATTCCTTTTTAGGTGATGCAAAGATAATGTTTTTGTATGTTTCTATGCTTGTAATATTTATTTATGTGTATTTGGGGTTGCAAGTGAGTCTACATTAAGAGTGCTCGTGCTCAATTTTACTCCGTGTCAGCCCATGCAAAATTAAACCATTTGCAACTCCGTTTTTTTATTAAAAAACTTTAAGATTGTTATATTCTCATGTCTAGGCAAAATTGGAACTCAGCATATGATATAATAATCAAACTTCTGAGGTAGTGTACCTCTTTAATTGATATCCAGAAACTGGATTCAATGCGGCAGTTTATTTGTTCATTAACTATTAGATATTTTACTAATTGTAGGGGAAACTGAAAATGAGAACTTTATCGATACCGCACGGGCGCACGATACATGATTTTTAGTTACTCTTTTCTTTGACATGCTCTCTTAATATTCCCTCAAATGCTCTATTTGACACTTAGTCCATTGCATGAAATATGCATTAATGGGTTATGTATGGTACTGATATTACCTCAACACAAGATGCAGAGCCCATGTTTTGTCCACATATTCCCCATTCAACAACCTACATAACTTTTAAATGTTTTGGTGATGTTATGAGTGTTCGTTTCTCTTATATTGAACTCATACTTCTATAATGTGACACATGCTGTGCTGTTCCTTTTATTCTAGGATAAAACATTAACTTCTGTAACCTTCCTAATTCCTTCATAAACACTCTCCCTAGTTGCATGTTGGATGCATTATTGGACCTGAATATCATTCACTTTACTTCAACAGTTGAAGGACACAATTTTAATCAAAGCTGTCCCATTCCACTTCTTCTTATTCAGTTTCTTAGGCTTTGTTGGCATTCTGAGCGTTGATATCTTATGTCTGGCCTCTGACTCCTAGACCATTACACTTTTAATTATGCACATTTTATTCCTAGCATAATTTTTCAAGATTTTATAATGTCTACATTGTTTGCAGGTATGTTGAGTTTAAACGATCTTGTCAACAAAATTGCCATTAAGCTTCAAGGCCGTTCATCAGTGGGTTCCATTCTTTATGGAAGGAAAAATGGTAGTATTCATAGTTGTAGGATTTTAAAAGTTGTAGAGGAGGATGGGAAAGCACAGTATGAGGTTGAGTGGATGGACATATATGATAATGACAAATCTGAAATTACATTTGTGAAGGAAGAGGAGTTGATAAGGAAAAAGCTGCCTTATATTAGAGGCGTTCTTAAAGTTTTAATCAGAGAGTCTACATATCGCAGCATTCCCTGGGTCTTACATGATAAGTTGGCAGATGAGCATGAGATTCCTACTCACCCTCCTCCAGAGTTAGAAAACAAAATTTCTCTCAAGGATGGTTTAGTTGTTGTTAATAAAAAGAGAAAGAATGGTGAAACTATACAAACTGATGTGGTAATTGTAAATATTATCTTTTCCTTTGCGTGTGTGAGTGTATGTGTGTTCTGCTGTTACCCTGTTACTATAGGCAATTTAATTTTATTGCTCTTCAGGACAGAGAAAATAATGGGTGGACAGATCCTAAGCGGAAGAATTTTATCAGAAAGAGTTCTAATGCCTTAACAACTGCGGAGACTGGTAATGATGGTAATATGCTCTACTAATTTTACTCCTATTCTGCATATAATACTCAAGATCATAATCTTCATTTGGGTCCCTACATTTGTTTCTAGTTTTTATGTACTTCCTTGCTATGTATCAACACTAATTGCTGCAGGTGTTATCTCCACCATCTAACTATCTCTTTCTCTACTTACATTGTTTCTTTCAGAAAACAAAAACTTGGATGTGGTGTCTGTTAGATATCCAATTGATGATTTACTGGTACAGCCTTCAGAAAGTGACAAACAGTTAACTGAACGTCCTTCTCCTTCTCGGGATTTCCATGCGCCTATGCATTGTGTTGGGGAACTATTGATGGTTTGGGAGTTTTGTACAACATTTGGCAAATTTTTGCAATTGTCACCATTTTCCCTTGAAGATTTTGAGAATGCCGTGTGTCATAGTGACAGCAATGTTGTTCTCATTGTAGAATCCCACGCAGCTCTTCTTCGTGTGTTAATGAATGACCATGTGGGCTATTTCTTCACTACACAAAAGAAAAAGAGAAAGTCCAAGGTCATTGTTGAGCATTACTAAGCTTTTTCGGATTGAATTTTTTCCTGCGTAGGATTATCTAGTCTAGATTGTTGCATTTCTGCTCATGCTCGACTCATCTCAGTTATTGAGTTTGAACAGTGCATGAATCATAGGGGATTGTGGGGTTTGGCTCAAAACCCATTTAGTGTTTGATGGGTATATTGGGTCAAAGTATAATTATTAATATTAATAGCCCAATATACTTATCAAGATAAGTTAGCATGACATAAAGGCTCTGACCCGAGAAGAGAACTTTGGGCCGATAACAGGCTGAGCCCGTCCGGGCTGGAGAGTTAATGGGCTAGATCGAATACAAGTGGGATTGGAATTAGTTACTTTAGGAAAGGTTTACCTAAATTTCCTAAGAAAAGCCTAGTAGGATTAGGAAGCTTGGACATGTACAAATACCCCCAAAAGGGTACGAGCAAGGGGAGCTCTTTTCTTCCAAATCTTGAGATTCAATATTCGTGTCTCTTATTCAATATTATTCCGATATTCACCGTGAGATTTAAGAGAATTATAACCGGTGAAGTTAAACTCCATCACTGTTCATGTTTCACTTGTATCAAGTGTGGTGTGCCTTATAATGCCCGACTGAACGTAGAAAATAGTAGGGAAATAAAATTGGAAGAAACAATGATAGGGTAATTGGAAAGAAAGATTTTTATAAATTTTGTTCAAAACTAATTCTATTTATTTATTTTTTCTTTATGAAGACTAATAATGGTGTGTGTGTGTGTTTAAATTCACCCTATTTCATTATTCTATAACTTTTCCAAGTTATATCCAAACATAATAAAATAACATTCCTTGCTTTTTCCTGCATCGAAACATAACCTTAGAGTTGATGCTGTTTGAGCCTTGGTGTATGACTTTTCCTTGAATTGAGTCTTTCTAACCTTGCTTGTTTTATAGATGAGTTGTTGATGTACTACTCTGATTCTATGAATTCCCCTTGCTTTTCAGATCACGTTAATTACTTGGACAGAGTATTTGTGTGACTTCTTGGAAATGATGGGCATTGCTAAGTTGTGTGCTCATATCTCTACAATCAAACGCGGTCATTATGGCCTTCTGGATGTTAGCATTAAATTAAAGATCCTTGGGGAACTAGTTGCTCAAACCTGTATGCTAGGCCTTTTTAAGGAGAAGTTGGATGAGGATATTGAGAAGCGGATGGCACTGGCAGCCGCACGGAGAGATGAAGCTTTGGAAGATGGTAGAAATAGGAGAGAGGAAAAAGAGCGTTCTAATCATCCACCTGCTCTAAATATTGGAGGAGAGGTACACATCAAAGCTATCAACCACAATAGGAAAAATGGAGCACTTTCTAATGAAAGAAAGGAGAACGGGACCTCTTCTAATTCGAAACATTTATCAGAGGACAGGTTTTAGCTCAATATTCAATATTTTATTAATTCTGTACATTACCACCCTCATTCCTCTCATTTCCTTAAATTTTACCTTTCGTTATGAACAGTGAGGGGGAGCAAGTTGATATTACATTAAGGAATTCTATGAAAAAGAAGTTAAATGTGAAAGATGCTGCAGAGAGCAGTAATAATTCATCAAAGAAGGCTGTTTTCAAGAATGGGATAAAGAAAGTAATGCAAAAGCATAGCAAGGACCAAAAGCAAAGGGTTGCACACAAGCTACTGAAGAATCAAATAAAGGAAACAATAGAAAGCAGGAGTAAGGAGCAAAGGGTGGGCTATTTCTTTATCTGTGTAACCTGTNGCATGCATGCATGAAGGGAAAATGAAACTTTTGGTCGTAAGCAGTAGGGTAATTATTGAATCAGTCCCCTAGTTATAGACATAACCATGTGTAGTCCTTGATCAATGAGTAAGGTGGTGCAAAAAAGAAAAAGGAATTGTCTAAATATAATTGATGTGCCTAATTTTGAGTTTGGGTAGACATGATCAAGTGTCAAAATTAGGTACATATCCAAAAAAGGCATAATCATGTGTAGTCACCCCCAAAAACAGATTGTGTTAGCACATTGGTAGAACTTGAGTTGATTAAATTTGCTAAGTGTTTGACAAATGTTTGCTTTTATCTTCAAATTTCAAGCATTGTGTCATTAATCTGTTTTTTGAGTTGCAGAAGGAGTATCTTGATCGAGAAATAGAAAAGAGAATTATACGCACCAGTCCGCTGGGGAAAGATAGAGACCATAATAGATACTGGTTTTTCAGACGTGAATCAAGAATATTTGTTGAGAGTTCTGACTCCATGCAGTGGGGATATTATTCTTCAAAGGAGGAGGTATAATAATTTTAGACAGTGGTTGGCAGCATGTTTTTTTTTTTTTTGAGTTGTAATCTCTGATGTCATAATGGTTTGTTTCTTTTAACAGCTCGATGCTTTGATTGGTTCACTTAATGTGAAGGGTGTAAGGGAGAGGGCTCTCAAAAAGCAACTAGAGAAGTTTTATGACAAAATAATGCAAGTTCCAACTTAGATGTCTTATACTGTGTATATATATTTTCTGGTTCAGCTGTTCTTTTCTTGAAACTTTGTTTTCTTCTGTGTACACAGCCTGGAAATTCAGAAGACATCAAAAGAGGCAACCCATGAAAGTTGTAAAGAAGACTCTGTAGTTCGGAGGTCAACCCGAGTTCGTGCCCCACCGGGAGAAAATCCTGCTCTTGCATTCCTTAAGTACGCAAACTCGTGGAAGGAAGAAAAAAGTGCAAAGAAAAAATCCAGAACGTTTGATGGGATATGCAGAACCACGAATACACACACGGATCTGGAAAAGAATTAAATTTTTTCTTTTTTTTTTCATTTCTTCGGGTCATCGTTAAAAGCCGGCCATTCTATGGTGATGTACCTATTTTTGAGTTTGGGTGTTTTGATCTCCACATCCACGGATGGTGATAGAAGCCAAGTTGGATCCATTCCACTCCAGTATGTTTTTGGTAATAGTTCAGGGTGGGGATTTTCTTCATTTTTTTTGTAGATACGGCTTAAGCAGCTTGGTTTTTGGCTGCCATCGACTTTGTACCTTCAGGCTAGTGGCTACTCCCTACCCCCCTAGCTCCCGAGTTTACTTTGCATACTAACTCCTCCCTAAAAAAATGTTTTATATTTTGATTTTACAAAGGTTAAGAAAAGTGTTGAAAAGTAACAAGTGTATGATTGTGAGAAGTTGCCTTCCATGAGGGTGTGGAAAGCCTATCTTCCCACGGATGCGCGAGCATATCACGACACTCTAGAATTGTTGCGAGAAGCTTATGGAACTTGAGATTGCTCGCAAAGACCATGCTAAGGTAACCCAACATAGGTGACATCATACTTTGCACAAACCACACAGACAATCATCGTCTTTGCCGCACAAACAATTATTGTCTGTGCGTGTCTATACAAAACATGAGATCATTTATGTGAGATTACCTTGTCTTTAACCCACACTCAGTCCATCAATGGCCCTTCTCTCAAGCAATCTTTAGCGATGTCGATGAGTTCAATAGTGAGATTATCATTGAATTCAACGCTTCCATAATAACCCTTGAGCTAAAGACCATGATTGTTGTAGTCAACATTCACCTTAACTAACCTAAAGCGTGGCATCAACCACCGAACCCGTCTAGGAATCTTTCTCTCTATATAGATCCAATCACGAGTTCGGGTACCTAGCTCGTCTGCAAAAGGCCTCTGGTAAAGTAGCGGGCCTGGGCTTGATATTTTAGACGTCAACATTGGAGACATAGTGGTGGAGGACGAAGGAGACCAGGGCCTTCGGCCGTGGTGTGTTCGACGTGCTACACGATGTGATACCGGTAGCCATTATCTTTAGTATCTCTGTCATGTTTAATACTTCATCCGTCCCAATTTATAGTGTCGTTCACTATTCACAGAGTCAAACTTCATTTACTTTCAATATTTAATTTCATTAGCAATTTGATAAAATAAAGTACTATTGTCACTACTAGTTTTGTAAATCTTTTGATTTAGTATTTTAATATGTAATTTTTATTTTTTAACTTTATTATAAAGTGATTTGAAAATAATTTCAGTCAAACATCGTAAATTGAAGCAGACACTATAAATTGGGACGGAGGGAGTACATTGTAATGTTTAATTAGGTTTTCTATAGTTTACTTTTTGTCGGATAATTTATGATGTGTAACAACGTTTATGTATTATTTTAATGTCTTATGAGTTTTGGTGTTCAATTATGGTGTTGTTAAAATTCTAATAAAAAATATCCAGTCTCACTTACCCAAATAATATTCACTCACACCTAACATAATAATATATACTCTTACCTACCACAATAATATCTAATCCAACCTATCCAAATAATTTCCATTTCCATCTAAAACGATAATGTCCACTCTCTAACCCATTATAAATAGGACTAACATCATCAAGTTGAGTCACACAACATCTTCACCCAACTCCACCTCACCTAATTAAACATTACAAACTAAACACTATACTTATAGCTCATTGGAATGGTGATCTTTGGTTCAGGATAGAACTATTTCAAACTAAGAAATGGTCTTGATAATAATTTTGTTTCTATTTATTGAAAAGAAAAACAATGACTATTGATCCTTGCGTTGGTTTTATGTGCATCACTCAGACACTTCGATTTATGTAATTATGTGGTATATATGTCGGTGTAAATATCCATCCTATAGAGAAAAGAGTTTACACTTTTATTTGAGAACATTTTTTATACTCCGTATCTATTTGTTGGGCTCTTTGTGAGCAACTTTATGGCCCAAATGGTTTTAGCCAACTTATCATTTTTGGGAGTGGACTCTGATACACAGCACCAGCAAGAAAAGAAAAGAATAACTTCCGTCCTTTGTGCTTGGGAGTCCGATTTTCTATCCGGGTCCAACTATAAGTCTTTTGTATTGACGCGTGGAAGGTATTCTATTGGCAGCATTTTCAAACAACGGTTTTTGGGCCTGACTTCCTCATTTTGGTGAAGTTTGTTAATTGTTGTTGTCCCAAAATAAGAGTAAATTACATAAAAGGTTCCAGTTATAGTTCGTTTTATATACTTAGCCCCTACATATCAAATATCAATAATTTAATCCCCAATTATTATATTGTTTTCCATGAATGGTTCTTTGTTAATATTTCCGTTAAAAACGTGGATAAAATTGTAAATTTACACTCATCTCTCTCCTCAATTAAGCTTCTCTCTCCTCTCGCACTCCTTTCCCAAGCTCGTCGCTGAGTTTGAAGCTTTGATCCCAAAACCGAAATCATCACTCCCCTCTCAATTGCTCGTCTTCCTGGTGGGATCCAAAATCGAAACTAGTAACCTTCATGGATGAGTTTTAAGGTTTGTTTTCTTGGTAATGTCTTAAGACTAACCCATAAAACTCATCCATGAAGGTTATTGGTTTCGATTTTGAGTTCCACCAGTAAGATGAACAATTGAGAGAAGAGTGATCGTTTCGGTTTTGGATTTAGAGCTTCAAACTCAGCAACGGGTTTGTGAATGAGTACGAGAGGATGGAGGAAGCTTAATTGAAGAGAGATAAGAGTGTTAATATACAATTTTATCCATGTGCTCAACAAAAATGTTAACAAAGGATTATTTATGAAAAACAATTTAATAATTGGGGACTAAATTATTGATATTTGATATGTAGAGACTAAATGTAAAACGACCTATAACTGGAGACCTTTTATGGAATTTACTCCCAAAATTATTCTTTGATGATTGTATTTGTCTCTTTTGTTTATTAGAGAGTACTTGTGTCCATTTTGTTCTCGGAGAAACTGGAGCAGTAGTATTAGAACTAAAGTACCACTTCCATTAGACTCCTGATCTATAAATTTGGGTTGTTGGAGAAGGATCAAACTAGGAGTAAAACATAGGTCATATCTTTAAAATAGGAGTTCAAACTTAAACTCCTCTAAATAGGATTAAAACATAATTAATAAAACAAAAAAATACTCCAACACGCACATTTTTTTAAAGATGCATGCGAACTAAAAGTAAGGAGCATGATCACTGCATGCGACTATTGTTTTTTGCAATGTTTTTGAGTTTTTCATTTTTTTTATTTTTTATAAAAAGTTAAAATAAAGATTTTAACTTAATTAATAAAACAAAAAATGCTCCTCACATGCGCTGCATTTGTGGCCAATACCAGTGGTGACCAAGTTCAAAACTAAAAAAATTCGGCCAATTTCACAACAGCATGCTACTGACAGCGATGCCCACTACCGCAATCGTCGTCGACGATGATGCCCACCGCCGCCATCGTCGCCGCCACATACCTGCCACTATCACTTGAATCTCCACCACCTCCATCCTCTGTTCCGCCATACCGCTACAAACGAAACCTACCATTGACGTCTTTGATTTTTCGACGTCACCAACGATATCACTGCTCTATACCATTATCAACAACACTGTCATCACAATTTGCACCATCGTCGCCACAATGGTGCCAAATTAATAGTCAATACTGTGTCATAGAAAGACATTATAATGTCAAACATGACATCATGTAATGTCACATATGACATTATATAATACCATAGATGCCTATATATAATGCCACATATGCTCATATATAATGTTACAATATTACACAATGACATAATGCCAAACCAAATCCAATGACACTGTATAGTAGATACTTGAAATGTAACAGTCTTCTACAGCTCACTAAAAGCATGCAACGAAAGTTTTACTGGTAGTCCAATTAATCTTCCCCGATGCTTCGCTTTACCTTTTGTATTATAGCAAAAAAAACTAATCTCCGGCATCATTTCGTATATATACGGCGGTGGCCATTGATAATGGTTAAATGTTCCTTTTTAATAAAACAAAGATGGGATGAGCTATTGTAATGATACATAGAAATGCATAGCATGAGTGGCAATCGAATCTACAATGCGAAATACAACAATGCACAATGACAAACATATCACTACATAATGACAAACTTGTTCCTGTATAATGTCAAAAAAAAACAATTCAGTTCAATTATTGTAAAATCAAAATTTTATAAGGAATAGAAATCAAGGTGGCCAGATCGTATCTCTATCTTTTCTTAATGTACTTCCTAACATTTTGCAGACCCCCATGAAAAAGAACAATTGGAAGCTCTGATTCATTCTCAATATGTGAAAAAGACCAATTGGAGAGATTAAAATGGACTGACGAATCATGCGGCACGACTGGAACACTTGTTAGAATGTGTAGGAGAGAGAAAATGGAGCATGATAGCGTTTGATCCGAAAGGAGTGAAAGCCCGGATTAATAGAGATTAGAATAATTACTCCTATTTAGGGGAGTTTAAGTTTGAGATCCTATTTTGGAACATGACATATCTTTTACTCCTATTTAGGGGGTTTTCTTTTGTTTTTTCCTACTCCGTAATATTTTTGCATTGTAAATCCTAAAAAAAAACTAATTACATATTTTAGAGTTAAACTAACATTAATACTATGTTTGGTTCAAAGAATTTGGAAGAATTAGAAAAAAAAAGTTATCTCATTCTTCTCACTAAAATGGGAGGAGTTTTTCCTTCTCATTTTCTTTTACTTCTACATTTTTTTTCTCTCTAACAAAATATGAGAAATTGTATTACATCTCATTTTTTTCTTTTCCCTTTCAAATTACTTCAACCAACGATATTGTAATAATTATTAATTTAATCAATTTATAGTGAATAAAACTCACAATCAATTAAATTCATAAATTATATTATTTGCATAATAACTCATAAATTAAATAATATTATTTAACTGGTCAGGCGGTTGCCGCCGGCTATCACCTGGGGGTCGGGGGTCGGGCGGCTGGACTTGGAGTCGGAGAACGCAGGCGGCCGGCGGCATAGCGCACCGCGGAGATGGAGGAGTCAAATTGTTGAGAAGAAGCAACAAGTAGGATACAACACCTACAAGGATCAACTTCAAGACAACCAACCAAACACTCTTGACCCAATTTACCACAATTGATTTACCAAGCACACAAAATCAGTAGCACATCAAATAAACCACAACCAAATATGAAGAATAAAGATGCAAATTACACACAATTTTTATACGTGGAAAACCCCTTCGATGTGAAGGATAAAAACCACAGGACTTATAGGGAGTCCGCTCTCTTCTTTTCTTATTATGCAAATTGAGGGTAAAACACCCAAACTCAGTCTACAAGGATCTCACAACCCACCAACGACAACATACATAAGAGCCATCAACAATAGAGAAGGAAAAATCAGAGATATCACCCAAAAAACGCAGCCGCACCTACTGCAATAACAGAAGATTCGTAGCTCCGATTTATGTGAAAATTGAACAGATTGAATCCCTAAGTGTTGGGAACAATCTCTGAAAATTTAAGCTCAATGCAACAGTCGGATCTCCGGAGATGAACAGATTCGTGCGGCTGGTCCGAAAAATCTGCACCAGCGCCCTTCTCTCTCTCCATTCTGTTTTTTTCTCTCTGTTTCGTAAGTCACTGCCGTCTGTCGTGGCAAAACCCAAACATGCACAAGCTCCGCTTTTACCCATCAAACCAACATTAAACTCAAAAGAACAAGCATCAACAGGTCCTAAATCAATACTCAAACTGTTAAAGAACATCCCACATCGAAAAAGTGTGAGGAAATTAATCGGTATATAAGCTCTTGAGTTGAACTAACTAATCGATTGAATTCAATCTTTTAATGTGGTTCAGCTCAGGTGTCTTATTGCCCAATCCAGTTATCTCTACCCAATCCTAAATTTTATCATGGTATCCGAGTAGGTTTTGGCCCACCTCGTTTGTCAAGGTGCCCGTCTAGACGTTCATTCCTAGTGGCCCGTTTGTCTTTAGCCCAGTTGTCCGTATGGAGTATGTACCCAACGGCCTGTGGCCCGTTTAACACGTTTGATCGTCTGGAAGTCCATACCCAGCGGCTCGTGGTCCTTTAGGTGTTGGCGCTCAAAAAAAAAAAAGTCAAGGGAATGGGAGTTCATTTGCAAGTGGTCAACCGGTTAGATTCAAAATGACACGGTTGTCCACTTGAGGGAGAGTGTTAAAGAGCATCTCACGTCGGAAAAGTGTGAGGAAATTAATTGGTATATAAGCTCTTGAGTTGAACTAACTAATCGATTGGATTCAATCTTTTAATGTGGTTCAGCTCAGGTGTCTTATTGCCCAATCCAGTTGTCCGTACCCCATCCTAAATTCTATCACAAACATTCCCTAACATGCTCTTGAACAATTTTAAACTAAATCATGCATCTTAAACCATCAACAACATAAACAAGGCGTAATTCACGTAGGTTCAAGTAGATCAACGGTAACGATTCTACGAACGTAAGATTCAAACCTATGACTATAACCATACGTTAGATGTCCACGTACTCACCTCAAATTCGACGATTAAGGATTACCGAATAGTGTTAGCGACGGAAAATCGGACGACTCTTCCTTCTTCTTCCTTCTTTTCTTCTTCTCTTTTTGTTAAAGCAAGTTAATATGGCATATATATTATTTATGGCAACATACGCATTATGGAGGAGAAAGGCACGCATGGTGCATGGCACATCTCAAAGAGGATTTTATGGCCGTTATAATATATATTAATTCTATTACTTATTTTATGTATAGTTGACATATGGAATGATTAGCTTTCCTTGTATGTTAGGATTCCTTGTATAGCTTTCCCTACATATATTGTAACCCGTTGGAGAAATAGCGGAGGAGAGAAAGTAAATTTTTCCACAAAGGACTTTTCATGGTATCAAAGCAGGTTTTGGCCCACCTCGTTTGTCAAGGTGCCCGTCTAGACGTTCATTCCTAGCGGCCCGTTTGTCTTTAGCCCAGTTGTCCGTATGGAGTATGTACCCAACGGCCTGTGGCCCATTTAACACGATTGCTCGTTTGGAAGTCCATACCCAGCGGCTCGTGGTCCTTTAGGTGTTGGCGCTCAAAAAAAAGTCAAGGGAATGGGAGTTTATTTGCTCGTTTGGAAGTCCATACCCAGCGGCTCATGGTACTTTTCTTCTTTTCCAATGGTTCTTCCTCGGTGCAGCTGCTGTTCTTCGATCAAAAGAGAAACGAGAGAGAGGGGAGGGAGTTTACGTAAATTATGGGAGGCGTAAAAAGGGTTTAAGCGTGTATGGGGTATATTTATAGGTTTGAGGCTTTGGGCTCCGTATTAACTTAACGTACCTAGCCCAAAACGCACTTTCTGGTCCCACGGGCTCCAAATCCAAATCAGATTGCACTGTTGGATTCGTTCCGCCGAATCCTACACAATGGTATAAACCTTATTATCAAACGAAGAATATTTCATAATTTCACCGAGTCCGTGTCAGTAATTAATTCATTATTTTTAATTAATTAATTCCGATAGGCCGGGTTTCGGGGCGTTACACATGATATCAAATGATTTGATTATGAATTGAGAATCAATTTATATGGATTTTCAATGCATTAGATATCCTTACTCAGTTTCACCACTGAGCGTGTAGTATGTTTTATTTGTTACACGCAGGTAAATGAAAAGAATGATGTGACATAATCCTGGCAGTAGACTAGGGTGAGATTGTCGGAATGGATGTGATGGTTTTGAACTGTAATTATGATTTGTTAAGTTCTCGTAACATTTAAAACTCCGTTCTGTTTTTGTTATGGATATTATTTTGTTATGAATAAAAGTGTTTGAAATATTTTTAAAATTTTACGATTACCAAATTTATACTTTAGTCCGAAATGGGCTGCAGACCTGACGGATTAGGGTGTTACAACACTTGTCGTAGTGCATTTTGCTAAGTTGAATTTATTTACAAAATTTCGTCGTGATTTTTTCAATTTTTTCATAGTTTTTGATTTTTAATAGCCCTTAGATCCTAAATCTAATGGATCATATGCATTCTCATTTCTTTCACTATACACAATTCTCTTTTTTTGCACCATTCTCATTTGAACATACATACATACATACATACGTACATACATATATAGATACATATGTATGTATGTATGTATGTATGTATGTATGTATATGTAAATCACCCTAAATAAGACAAATATTGAGAAAAATACCAAAATAGGACTTTCATGTTTTTTTTCTCGAAATAGGACTTTGCACTATGGTAATGTGGCACTGTACATGTGTACATTACTATATTTTTTTGGTAACGTACATGACCATGTTTGATAATGTAAGTTCTATTTCTGGAATAAAAATATGGAATTCCTATTTTGATATATTTTCAATGTTTTAGTCCTACTTTGGTCTTTCTTTCTCCCTATATGGGTGTGTGTGTGTACGGTATGTATGTATATATATGTGTGCGCGTGTGTGTGTGTCTATATATATATATATATATATATATATATATATAATGACCTCGATTTCAAAACAAATATGATATCAACCCTGCTTTGCTCCCAAACGAGCACAAAAACACCAAGCTTTAACCAAGGGAAGAGGGGGTGACAATAGGGTTGTAAAACGAATGAATTGATTATTTAGAAAGTTTATTTGTATTTAAAAAATGATACCACAATTCATATTCGTTTTTTATTTGAATATTTTTTATTATTCGTATTCGAATTGATATTAAATTCAAATATTCACTTCATATTATGTTATAAAATACTACAAATTTTGAGTTCTTTTACGTTTTATAGCGTCAAAAAATTTTACCCTACAAATTAATCATATACTTTGTACTAAAAATGACATGTCCAAAACAACATCAACGACAATCCAATTAGATCCGATGATAGTAGGGGGTCTGGAAGAGTGTGTGTGTATGCAAACCTTGCCCCTATATATTATGCTCTATATTTATTATGGAATATTCTATATATTATGCTCTATATATGTTATAAAGCATGTATATTATGTATAAATTTTTATAGGTATTTAAATTTGAAATATATTCATTAATATATCAAATCGAATACATATACATTGGCTTTCATATTTGTTTTCTTCCGAATTCTAATAAATATATTCATTTTTCGAATACAAATCATTGATTAATCGAATCCAAATTATTCGTTTGTTTTACAACCCTAGGTCACAGTGGAAACCCTAGGCCATATTATACAATGGTGGGAACTCTTACAGTGGAAAATAGTGAAGTGACTTGGGTCATTAGGGTAACTCCGTTCATGTATACATGATACGTACATACATAGAGCATTAGAGCCACACAGTTTAAGTATTACAGCTAAATTGGTACACCACTTAATGCAGCAAAGCTTATAGTTCAGAATGCATTTTGGATGTATCCCTGGCACTTCCCAAGTGAGAAACTGGACGTGCTTCAAAGGTGAGTCTCGAGAGGATTAGGCGTGCTATATTTTCAGCTGATACAGCACTAGCCTCCATTGTGCTGGCCGCATTCTCAAAAGCATTAACATAGTACAGATGCCGACCATCCAAAACAAGCGGCGCAAATACCTCAGGAGCTTGATAGACGGGATATGCAGCCCAGTCAATTTTGATAGTTTCGTTTCTCACACTGCAAGAGTTATGCAAGACATAGAAGTAAAGAGTTTAGACGTTGTGCCTCATCTAAAATTCAGTTCAAATTGTAGCTCGTGCGTATATAGCACGGTACAAGAGTTGTAACATACGGAGTATTACATATACTTGGATTCTAAATCACTCGGTATTTGGCTAATCATTCGCTTGCGGTTTTTAGAAGGAAGACACGCAAACACATAGTCAAGCTCAACCTTCACTTATCAAAATAATGATATTTCTCGATGTTTTTCTTGAATTTTCATATTCAAATGATAATGCCTAATCTCATAGTTGTTTGGCCACATTTGACTAGCAACCACAAAGACACCTCTCAGTATAGCATGAGTTTTAGTTATGCCCTAGTTTTCCCAATATTGTAAGATAAGGATACATTAAGTTATTATAAGGTAGACTATAAGAAAAAAGTACCAGGGCAAGAACGTGTTACTAAACTTTCCACAAGAAAAAAAGCAGTATGATTATACCTAAAGATTTGATCCAATAAATCATCTTCCATTTGACTCCGTGAAAACATTTTGTAGGTCATATCATGATCACTGTGTCGCTTGAGAATCGAGATACTTGAAAATGGAACTACAGAAGTCTCTATTGTGCCAACCAATTCAGGAATATCTGACAATGACCTAAAGCCAAAATAAGACTTGCAAAAGGGAAGCATCAAATCAATAATTAGCAAGTTATGGTAAAGAAAAGAGGACTACATGACAAAAAACATCAATGGAATGCGTTAATAAACCAATCGAACTGTACTCACGAGATTTAAGAGACCCCTAATGAAAGTTGTATGGGTGTGCTGTAGCTTCCTAGGGGGGATTGAAATTCCAGGCACAAAATGAATATTTAATTCATCCAAGGGTGTAGCAACCACCACAACTTCACATGAGTAGTTCGTTCCCTTGGTTGTTTTGAGGTCATATTGTTCCCCAAAATGAGAGAGGGAATCTATTTCTTCACCAAGGTGCAATTCAACATTTGAACAGTTTATTAAACCAGCTGCCATTTGCCAATTTCCCCCTTCAACAGACCATAAATTTCCCCCAGATCCTGCCAATGAAACTGCACCAGCAAGACCACTCATGGAGACACTTTGCCCATAATTGATTCTTGTGATAACCTGTATAAGGAAGATCAAAGTTGTGTAAGGCATTATTGGGATTTGGCTTGTTTGTTCATGAACATGCTTGTACTCGACTCGAATTTGGCGACATTATTTGTTCGCTAAAATCTTGTGTGTGTGGATACACACACCATACACACATAGTTTGGTATTGGGCAGTCATCCTATGTATAAATAGACCCAAATGACGAAACTGACAGCCTCAATCATTAAGTAGCTGAAGAGAGATCATTAGGTTAAAATGTACAATTTTTTTTATTTATTTTAGCATAAAAACTGTAGTGATAGGAAGGTTTGAAACTGCATTGCGTCTCACTCCATAGGGCACGCATCTGTGTGTTTTTCGAGGTGCAAGTGCTGATGCTTTGGGCTATGGCTAAAAACTGCATTGCTAACCTTTATTGAGTTAGCGGCGTGCACCTGGGGCAGAGAGCCTTGAGGCGTAGAAAGGCTTACACCTTATTTTAAAAATAAAAATAAAAAAAACATTCCATAAATATAGTTCGTTGAAAAAATTAAACATCAATCTTAGGCAAGCAACTTGCGCTTCCAGTTCTCTTCTCTGATCGCCGTAGCTCTACCGAGGACAACATCTGTTGAATCGACGACTATCAGTAATTGTTAGCTATACATAATTTGATAGTTAGTATGGAGTAAGTTACCTTACCTCTATACAATTACGTTATATAGTTTTTTTTACAAAAACATTTCATATTATTTCTAAATGTTTTACTCATACTCTCACGTGTAATATGAGGCTTACGCTTCGATACGCCTTCAGACTTATGCCTTGCGCATTAATGAAAAAGAAGCCCCAAACCTGACGTGCACCATTTGAAACATTGAGTGATAGATGGAAGAGAGAGGGAGAGAGAGAGAGAGAGAGAGAGAGAGAGAGAGAGACGTAAAAGAAAACCTAAGAGTAAGCGCTAGTAAATTGACATTCCCAAAGCCGTTACCCATTGCATAGAGCTGCAAGTTTGACAACGGTTACAAATACTCATTTCTAAATGAGTGGGCTCGAGAGGCTACTATATCTTTGACTTGATTACTCTAAACGAGCCAGTTCTCAATCTGCTTGCGATCTTGTAATAAATCAAGCTTGAGCAGGTGTTAGAGGCTCGATTAATAAACAAATCAAGCTTGAGCAGACCAGTTTTTTAACAAGCCAAAATCTTTTCTAGGGTGTTTCGGCTCAATGCGGCTCGTGAACAGCCCTGCATATTACAGATTCATCTTTGCTTCAACCTTATGCACACATCATGCTTAGCATTATTCTACTGCAATGTCAGAAGCTCAGAACATGGCTGCTGTATATGAATATGAGCATTCACATAACTATATCCCCGGGGTGTCTTATGGACATCTTTATTACAGCCATACAAGCTTCTATACCTTTTTAGGTAGGTCTAACGTCTGCCTACTTGTGGGGCCTTTATGGGTTGTTACTGTTGTTATTACATTCATGAAACCAAAATCCACAAGCATGTTTTACATAGATGGATGAAAGTATCAAAAGCAGTGCTATAATTAAAAAACACTTTTAAAACAGCACCCCACAAACATATCAATTGGAAACTGAAAACAGAAAGAAAAAGATTGAAGAGAACAGAAAGAGATGTCTGCATTTACTTACTGTGACAAGTTCTTGAATAAGGGTAGTAGATAAGCCCGCATCAGTCAACTCTTCTTCCAATGTTCGTGTTGTCAAGTTAAACAGCCCTGACCATTTAAGCATTTGCTCAACATCCTCAAACACTGGCCGAGACTCTAATCCTTCATAGTACTTTAAGAAATTATTCACAGATCCCTGTTGAAAAAACATACAATTGAAACGTTAAATGTGAAGTAAAATGAATACAAAATCATTGTGAAGGGGAGAAACTATGACGCACCTCTACAAAATTTTCCATCCTAAAGAGTGAGAATCCGTATCGAAGAAAAATGAGGACGGAATTGGCGATAGACACGATTTTTCGAAGAATTTGGAGCCTGCAATTTGAAGTCAATGTTTTGAAGACGAACTTATTGCCGTCCCAAATGCCAAAAGAAGAATCCGATTCAGCCGAAGGCTTTTTGACGGTGAGGTTCAGGTACTTAGTGAAGTTCAGAACGTGGTAGTTCTTCGGATGAAGAATGGAGCCGCCTGACTCAAAAGTATCGCCGGCGACTGTGACCGTTGCCATACGGCCACCGACCACACCATGGCGCTCAAATATTCTTATAGAGCCCACTTGGGGTTGAGATGGATCGGAATAGGTCCGGAGGAAATGCGCCACGGAAGAGCCGCCGATTCCGCTGCCGAGTATGCATACTGTCGGAGGAGATGATTGTGACTCCGAGGTGAATATCTGGAGGTGGAGCAGAAGGAGGAGCAAGGAGTAAGCAACAGGTATTTCCATTTTCTGAATTCTTTATTAAAATGAGATGAAAAAGGAGGAGGTTGGAATTGATGAGATTGGCAAGTTAAGCTTTTGAATTAGGATTATGCTATGTGTACCCAAGTTTTGTACCCAATTTGTACACCGCAGTTTTGCACCAACATTTTGTGTTGGTGTAAAATTAATTTTTGTTAAACGCACCAACATTTGTGTCCGTGTGAATTTTTATTAACGCACCAACACTTGTGTCGGTGTAAACCATCGAAATGTTTGTGCAAATCTGTGGTGTACAAATGGGTTATATTTTTTGGTGTAAGTGTAGCATGGTCCTTTGAATTAATGTATTTATACATCAAATTTTATTCCCAAAATTGTACATTACATCACCTTTTTTTTGTCCCAATATAGTGCCTGATAGTACATAGACACAAAATGCTCATCTAAATTTTTTTGTTTGCACTAACATTTTCTGTTATTGTAAATTATCAAAATGTGAGTATGTATCTTTACACTTTGAGGTACACTCATTGGGGTAGCTCTTAGAAAAAATTACTCCCTCGTTTGTCCAACTTTTATTCTTCCGATTTTGTGAGTCATGCACTCCTTCGTCAATTTCTTTATTTTAATTTCTTTTTTATTTTCTTTTTTTCTTCTTTCTTCTTTCATTTCTTCTTCCTCCCCCTTCCAATTTTGTCTTGGCACCCAACGTTCAGAGGTAATGGCAAAGCAGCGAATTAGGGGTCAGAGGTGATGTCGCAGTTAGATCTGCTCTTCTTAACTGCCGCTGATGCTCCTAACTTTTGCCGCCAAATATAGCCCAGACAGATCTATTCTCCTCATTGCAATATCTAGACCTATAACGCCCCAAAAATTGGCCCAGTTGTAATCGTTATTTTATAAGATAGTATGCAATTATGACAAGTTAAATCTTTTTAAGAATTCAAATATAGCTTTAGAGATTTTAATCGTCCAAGTATAACATGACTTACATGAGTAATCAAATTTAGTAAGTGTGAAGATCGTATTTAACGGGCTGTCACTATTGATTAGTCGAGATACCTAACTAATAACTAGGGCAGTCCCTGAGTAAGAAAGTATAACATTGTGAGCACAAACTTTTAGATATGTTGTTATTCTAGTTTGATAATCTGAACCTTGAAACGCGAATAAAACTTAATTCAGAGGTATTTGGTGAAAGGTATTATTTTACTCTTTCTCTGTCCTAAGATTTTCCATCATCTCTGATGGAGCCAAAATTTCACCATTTTTTGACTTTGGGGTGTGATGGAATAAATCAAAATGGATCTCTAAACTGTCTGCGCTTGCTTAATTAATGAAGTAGCAGTTAGTCAAGCAATGCAACTTTCGACGTTGAGCCGGGGGTCTCTTTGGAAACAGCCTCTCTACTTTCGAGTAGGGGCAAGGTCTGCGTACACACACCCTCCCCAGACCCTACTCTTGTGGGATTTAACTGGGTTGTTGTTGTTGTTGTCTCTGTCCTAAGAATATGAGTAAGTCATAATGTTGAAATTATATACTCAAATTGGGTCGTTGGGTAGATCTCGTGAAAGGATTACCAAGGTTGTATAGTTTGACAAGTTTAGACTTGTATGTAAAAAGTTATGAGTAAAATAGAGATTGTAGTTGAGTAAGTAAATAAAAAAGTTTATTAATATAATAATTAATAAAAAGTAAATATGGGGTAGATTATATACGAAGTACCTTACCGTGTGTTTAGATGGAGGTAGAGGAAGGTAGGATAAGGTTACATTTAAATCTTATCTTGTTTGGGAGGAGAATTCAAGATCGGTAAGATAGGTAGAGTGAGGTAATTTAACCTCATAATAGTGGAATTAAGCCGTTCGCTGAATCCCCGGGGAAATGAGGTTACATTTTCTCTTTCCCTACTGCCCATATCTTCTTCTTATATTTTCTTCGATCCTGCATCAATCCAGCGCAACAACTTCTTCGATTCTCCCATTCGGTTGTTGTCCCTCTTCTCTTTTCTTCCATTATTATGTTTAATTTGCTTTTTTTTTAGTTATTTTTTTTGCTGCTTTCTTTTCCTTTTTTGATGATTCTTTTTTTTTGTTTTTTTATTTATTAAAATATCATTTTTTGTTATGGATTTGGACTTTGATTGCATTTTGAATTCTTTCTTAGTTTCGAGGTTGGACTGGGTTGAGGCACGGGAGGACGATACTGAAGATAACTTGCAATTTAGGGGTAATTCCATCATTATACCTCTCACCTTGGTTTGTGTGCCAAATCCAAAGTGGACGAATACAACGCGACCGAGGGAGTCTCTTTTTTCCCTATAAAAGTATGTATGTGTGTTTATAATAGTTTTAATTAGTATTATTCTTTTTATTATAATTAGTATTAATGTTGTTATTATTATTATTTTAGTTTAATTATACTAATAATATATATTATTATTCATATGAGCCAACTCGTGGGCTTGAGCATAAAACCCGAGTTTGGCACTAAAGTATACGGGCCACCATTTATAAGATCCGTGTAACACCTACTTAGACCTCTTACCCTGGTCATAAACGTTCGCTCATAAGATTGTAGACTCGCCCAACAAATCAAAACAAGTGTTTCCAGCACACTTTGTCCTCACTCATGCGCGCTAAGAAATTTCCTAGGGGGTCACTCATCCTAGAATTGCTCCTAGTCAAGCACACTTAACTTTGGAGTTTCAGAGTATTACAATTTGAGCCCGGCCCCCCTAAAATGTCGAGCCCAAGCGCGCTATCTTGCGGGTGATCTTTTATGGACGAGCTGGATACTCGGGTCCGTGATGGGGTCTAACTTTGACACTCTCAATAATATTAATAACACAAGTAGTTTCTCAATGCTCAACCAACCACCGTTGATTAATATGCAATGGCGCATTAACAGTCTAGATTGTGTGACACTTTGAGAGGAAATATAATTGTCAGATTTCCCTTGCTTTTAAACATAATATAGATGGTCCGTACAAACTTCAAACAATGCCTGGTTCATCTCCTTATTTCCCCCTTGTATTAGCTTGTCTCTTCACCTGATCTGATTGGATTAAATTCTGATCTAATTTGGTCTAATCTGATTTGATTGTAGTTGTATATAATATTATTTTGATCTGATCTGATTCTAATAAAAATAAAGCATAAAAATAAAAATATGTTCTCTTTAACTTATTCTTATTACTTATTACTTTTTCTTATTGGAAGATCAGAAATCATTTTTAGAGGATGTTTGGCAGTGACTAATTTGTGGACAAAGTGATTTTCACAAAAACTTAAAGCAGAAGCACCATATATTTGCTTCTCCGAAATGACATTCTATGTACAAAATGCCGGTAAAGAAAAGCATAAGTTGGTAAATCAAACAGAATAAAATGATTACCATTTAAAGCAGAACCTAAATTCTAAAAAGCAACATAGTGCACAGTCTTTTAATATACTCCCTCCGTCCACATTTAAAGTTCCCGGTTTGACCGGGCATCGAGTTTAATAAAAGCTAAAATTTACCTTGACTTTCCCAAAATACCCCTCAACTTTATTACCCACAGCCCCCACCTTTCCTGGCCAAGTCTTACGGACCATCCCATAGCCTGGAGAGAAATTCCGGCGACTCAAACCTTGCCAAATTCCGGCCAGTGATATTCCGGCGATCCAGTGAGAAATTCCGGCGAATTTCCGACTCAAACCCTGCGAAGAGTTCAGAAGAAGATGTAGAAGATGAAAAAGATTGAGGATGTATCCGATTCACAGATCTGGATCTGATTTTTCCAGATCTGACGCACAAGAAGTAGAAGAAGAAGACTAGAAACGCTAAATCGGAAGTGGGGAAGAAGAGGAAGAAGAAAAAGAAAAAGAAGGAGAATAGAAAGGAAAAATCGAAATAGGGGAAGAAGAAGAAGAAAAATAGGAAGGAAATGAAGAAGATAAAGAAAAGAAAATTCAGAAGGGGGAAAAAGAAGGAGGAAAAATTTGAAGAAGAAAAAAAAGAAATGAAGTGAAAAATCCGAAGGTGGGAGAAGAAGAAAAGAGAGAAGGAAAGAAGAAAAACAAGAAAAGAGAGAGAAGGAGAAAACTGAAGAGAAGGAAAAAAGAAAGAACAAGAAAAGAGAGAGAGAGAAGGAAAGAAGAACGGAAGAGAAGGAAAAAAGAAAGAAAAAGAGGAGAGAAGAAAAGGAAGGAGAGAAGAAATGTAAAAGGAATTTGAAGGGTATTAAAGTCTTTTTGATAATAAAAAGTTACCAAAAAAGGAAATGAGAACTTTAATTGTGGACATCCAAAAAAGAAAAGTGAGAACTTTAATTATGGACGGAGGGAGTAATTATATTCAGATCAGAATTTATTTTAATCAAATCAATTGAAGAGAACAATCCCTAAAGCAATATTTTCCTTAACTTATTCTTATTGAAATCAGAACAAATTTGACCACATCAAATCAGAGACAGTTTGAGTTACAACTTTAAACAGTTTAGATCAAAATTTATTATATTTAGATAAGAACCAATGTGAAAAAAAACATGACCTAAGTTAAACTCTATTAAAGAAAGCAAGCTTTGAGATCTCTTAAATTGAGCATTTGAGCCTAGGCAAAGTTGTGGCTTGAAACTTCCAAAAATCAGAGAACCGGACAAGATAAAAGCAGAAGAAAATACAACTTCTCTTTCTTAGTTCGAATGGCCACTCCGAACTTTTGCCGCCCCAAATGGACTCTGCCGCTTCACAACCGTCGCTTCTTCCACCACAGCACCGCCAACATCAGCTTCACTCACTTCTCATACCAGACGAGGGAACACAATTCTCACTTTGTACGACGTCGCACTAACTTTGGCGTCCACTGCCAGACCACTGACCCTGACCTTGAACTCGCCGCCCGCGTCGGTAAAGACCGTCTCTTGAAGGTACTCTCCTTTCCCCCCTTCAAAATTGCTTTAAGTTTTCTTCGGTTATTTGATTCAAAGAGATCTCTATGACAGTAAAATCAGGAAATTTTGCATGCACTGGGCAGATGTGTTAAATTGAAATGAATATGTTGTAGGTTCCTATTTCGAATATCAGGAATTTCTGTATAATAGCACATATTGATCATGGGAAATCCACGCTAGCTGATAAGTTGCTGCATCTAACGGGGACAGTGGAAAGCCGAGAAATGAAGGAACAATTCCTTGATAACATGGATTTGGAGCGAGAAAGAGGCATCACTATCAAATTACAGGTTCGTATACTCCTATAGATAAATCCCCATTAGTGGAGGGGATATAATTCGCTTAATGTGTTGCTGAAAGTTTATTTCAGAAAAATATGTTCTTTTTGAAGGAAACAATGAAAGAATTTAATCGGCAATTGATATACTCCCTTCGTCACTAAATATATCTCCCATTTGCTTTTTTAGCAGTCGCGGGAATTTTTGTTTGTTTCTACGTTTTCATTGGTTATTTGATAAAATAAAATATTCTTGACACCTCTTATTTCGAAGAACTTTTCATGTAGTTTTTTGATATGTAAATTTTTTATTTATCTATACCAATATGTAAATAAAATGAATTGAAAAAATTTGATATTTTACCTCGGTTATAGAAATGTGAGATATATTTAGGGGCGGAGGGAGTACTATGAACCAAGCCTAACATAGTTACATGACCCTTTTTCGTATTTTGTATGATAAATTGATAATGAGCATTGGTTGCAAGTGTGGTGCATATTTACAAAAAAGAAAAACAAAAACTGATCGTTACAGCAATGAACAGTAATTATTATTGGTAAATACTAAATATCAATGATCATTGGTTGCAAATTTATCGAACAACTTACCATGGCTGGTGAACCTGGGCCCTTGTTGTGTTTTACAAGGAAGAAGGTTTTTTTTAGTGTGTGAAGTTTAATCCAAAGGGCATTGGGTGTTGCCAGTGCCAGATGTGCCGTATGTGAACAAGGTCCACCATTCTCTGCCGTCAGTCTCTTTATTTGTAGTTGCATACTCTTTTTTCACTGTGTATTTGACAATGAAATCAGCAAGTGACCCTTTGATGGGTGGTCAGGGATTTTATCTTTATTTAGAGCCGTCTGAGATAGATCACCATCACCCACTTTACCATGCTTGAAGATGTTGAAATATTCCTCAGTCTTGCTCCCAACTCTCAAGGTTTGGCACATTGAGTTGGAAGTACTGAGTGAGATCCTTGTTGTTAGGAGTGACGAATGACAATGGATTGGCTTTGGATAGAGTGTGTCTCTACATGCATCTGTTTACCAACTTCCCATTTGTCACACGGTCCATGCTTAACCCTACACGTTCCGTCTACATCCGTTCCATTCATTATCCGTGGATGAATCTGGTGCATCTGGTCCTAATGGCTGAAACTAATACTCCGTAACATGAATCGCATCTTTAAATTAAAAAAAGGATTAAGCTATTTGTACCCCAAATTGTACACTACAGGTGTGCACCTTCATTTTGGGCCAGTGTGATGCTAGAGTGATGGTTCACACAAGCACAAAATGTTAGTGCAATTTTTTTATCGCACTAGCATTTTGTGCCAGTGTGAACCATCAAAGTGTTAGTGTGTCTCTTTGGTGTAACTTTGGGGTACACTCCTTGGTGTAATTGTAGCATAGTTTCCATAATATACAGAAATGGTACTCCATAATATAGTTTCCACTGAACTCAGTGTTGTTAAAATCATGATCTGAGTCGCATAGTCATATGTGGGCTGTATTCAACTACTCAACTATATCAAGTATAATAGATTATATGTCACTAACAAACAATATCAATTCACCATGTAAATATTAAAAGGATTAAAAAACACTAACAAATAAAAAAGCCACAGAGCTCTCCACCCACTACAGCCCTGGCCCTCTTCTACTGAAATTCAACTTTTGATTCTAATAATCCATTCCAAACTCTAGACTCCAGTAGTCCAGTGCACATATCCCAGTTTCTAGCCTCCAAACTCCATATTTTAGTTACAACTATACCAGTTAAAACTAGAGTCCAGACCTGAGTTTCCAGTTTCAAGATTCCAGATTCCACACTCCAGACTTCAATTACTAGACTCAAAGCTCCACTTTAAATTAAGGCATAAAGTGAATGCCCTATGCCCAGCTAACTCTCCAAACTTTAGAGTTAGCTAAAGGCACAAAACTACTCCTATTTAGTCCTACCCTACAACTTTTTCCTCGACCCCAAAACCTCCTGTTTAGGGGCATGTTCTTTGCACAAACCACATCTCCGGTCAATTTTCGTCGCTTCAACTCTTCTTTGGCAAAAAAGTAATGAAATTTATTAAGTATTTAGTTTACTTGCAACACAAAACCGACGATGATTAAAACAAACAAAAAGTAGTAGGAAGAAATTGAATAGGAAAAATATTGGCTAGAAAAATCATGAAATTGAATGACAGAATTAATTAGGAAACCTTAAACAACATTAGTTGGCTAACCTAGAACAAAAGTAAATGGGCGTAAAAGCAACGAAAGTGTAAAATACATGCTAACAAAAACGACTCTAAACCATAAAAGATACTTCCCTTCCATATGCCTCAAATCATTCTCCCGCATACGTGATAAATTGGTCTTTTATTCTCTTCCAGGCTTCTCGGATGCGTTTCATGTATGGTGGTGAGTCATATTGCCTGAATCTGATTGACACTCCAGGTCATGTAGATTTCTCATATGAGGTATTTTGCTTTCTGTGCCCTGTAGGTTGGTAACTTGCAATGGGATTTACTTTCAAATTGCAACGTGTCAGCAATTCTTTGTGATGTTTTATCCCCTTAATATGTAGTGGTGAATGGTCAGGATTATGCGTAATGGAAAGAAAGGTGCCAGTGTTTGTGGTAGGATTCACAGTAGAATTCCTTTCTGTTGTTTGCTACAGCATCAACATTCAGTTTCTTTCTGATCATTAGGCCATATGGTATCTTTTGCTGGGGTGGGTGAAGAATTTGTCTGCTTTGTCAAAACTGCACGTCTCATTTTACATTCCCTCTTCAGTTTCTTTGTAGTTGAAGGCCCCGTTTGTTGAGGGCCTTGAGTTCCTTTAATCTGCCGATCTATTTGTGGCCTCTGCTGATTATTTTTAATTCCTACTTAAATTTTGAAAAAGTTCTATTCAAAATTTTAATACTAATTTTCTGATACTTTCAGGTTTCTCGCTCTCTTGCAGCATGTGAAGGTGCACTCCTAGTTGTAGATGCCTCTCAGGTGTGTTTTTTCTTTTTTTATACAAAGGATCTCTTAAATGATAATTTATCATCTAGGGATATGTTGTTCACTTTATGAATTATGACACTTCATAGTTGCTATCATGTAACCCAATCATTTCATTTTAGTTGTCATTCCTATATTTGTTTGTTGCAGAAACTGATATCGAAGTTGGGTTATACTTTTTAGGGCGTGGAAGCTCAGACTCTAGCAAATGTATATTTGGCACTGGAAAACAATCTCGAGATCATCCCAGTATGTTAGCAGAACTCTATGGTTTCTTAATCGATTAGTTTGAGTTAATATACTTCTAAGCTAGTAATTAGTCATAAACTTCCCTAAAATTTTCTCATGTTTTAGGGGGAAAATAATCCTTGGGTGGTTGGTCATGTCAAGTATTAATAGAGCTTTTAATGAGATTCTGAAAATATTCAAAATTGACACCCAATACTGTGCTGATGGTGTGGAATGTCTGAACAGTACTTTGCATTAAAAAATATACCCTATTTCTATTAAATGTAATATTCAAATTGCAAAACAATGCTACACTACTGTTATGGGCCCGTGCAAAGCATCAGGTGACAGGTCGCGACACCCTTGGTTCTTTGCGGGAACTAATCATTACTAGGGGCAGGATTCCATTGGAGAGTTTCCACCTTTAGCCCTTTATTTGAGAATAATTCTTGATGATCTTTATTGAGAGGACTCCCTCTTAAAATAGAGGTTACAATATAGTTATGATAACAATAAGATAACTAATACTCTCAATAGGATTCCTAGCAATAAACAAATGCTATAATTAAATAGAAGCAATTATAATTAGAATATCTCCAACTTTCTCCCTCCTCCATGGAACACGTTAGTGCTAATATCACTCCCCTCCTCATTTATGAGCTTTTCCCCAAGCTCATAATTCCAAAAGTGTTTCACGAAAGACATGGAGGGGAAGCTATATTTTGAAGAGGCAAGGCAAGACAATATAGTTAGTGAAGCAATATTTTTCAGAAAATCACGTTGTTACAAAAAAAATTTGAGTCACACTGTTAAGCATGTTGTGATATGGTGAAAATAAAAAAACCTCAAGACAACTTTTGTGCACCTTGGTTGAAGTCATGACTATCAAATCTCAAATTGCTTATTTTTTGCTTACATTACCCATTTAGGGCCCATTCTGCTCAACTTATCTTTTTTCCAGCTTAATACTTATTCTTATTAAAATTAGATCAAACCGGACCAGATCAAGTATAATTTCATCAGATCCAATCAAATTAGATATTTAGATAAATCCAGAAAAAATATTGAAAAATAATGCTAATTTTTTTCTATTATTACATAGTAATTATTATACGGTTAACTTATGTTTCATTATTTAATGTTTCATATTAATATTAATATTAATTTATTTTTATTATTTAAGTAATCATAATACTTTATCTGTCACTAAATTATTGTCTCCTTTTGAAAAACATGCAAATTGCATCTCTTTTAAAATAATTTTATTTATAAAAAAATATAAAAAATAAAGAGTACAACTTACATACAAAAACTAATTCAAAAGTTCTACAAAACAAGTAGTGATATATATATATATATATATATATATATGTATGTATGTATGTATAAAATCAAATAATTATTACTAATAAACATGATGATAGTTTTAGGGTTGAAGGATCCATAGTTTTAATAATAATAGTCTCTTCGTCCTATTACAAATTACTTATTTTGTCTTCAAAATTTTTTAAAAAGAGTGAAAATGATAAGAATATTAAAAGGTAAGTGGTTAATTTGTTTTAAATCTGAGCGAAATATTTTGAATTATATATATATATAAAATATATATATATATATATATATATATATTTTTACACCAAAACTCCATAGTCCATATTCTTTTGAAACAAGTAAAATCTGATTCAGATTTTCAACACTGATCAGCCTCTCTCATATTCCCATGAAACATAACTGCACAAAATTTATGAATCAGAAACATACTAAACATGGGCATAGAAGATGTGAGGAAGTGCGTGTGTTCCAGTAAAACCCAAACTAAACTTTGCGTGCCCAAAAGCTGCTGCTAGACGGTCAGCAATTCCTTCTCCTTCTGCTTATAGATAGCATCGATCTTCCTAATATACTCATCAGTAACTTTTTGTAAATCATTAGATAGATCCTTTACATTGTCTTCAGAGAGTTTTTTCTCCTTTTCAAGTTTTTCATACGATTTGACGGCATCTCTTCTTATGTTCCTTAAAGCAACCTTCCCTTCCTCAGCTTGCCTGGCCAAAACTTTTGACAACTCCTTCCTCCTTTCAGATGTTAATTGAGGGAGAGCTAATCTTATTACTTCTCCATCAGAATTTGGAGTCATACCAAGATCAGAATTGACAATTGCCTTCTCTATAGCTTTTTGGCTGGATTTATCATAGGGCTGTATCCGGATAGAACTAGCATCAGGAGTGCCAATTTGGGCTATGCTCTTCAAGCTGACTGGAGTACCATAGTACTCCACCTCAATTTTATCCAGCATTGCCGGGTTAGCTCTCCCTGTCCTTATAGAGTTGAAATTCGACCTAACACTCTCAATAGTCTTCTCCATCCTCTCTTTAACATCTTCTTCTATAAAAGATTTTTCAGCTTCGATTTCCTCTATAGTTGCAGTTCTGAACACTGCGGTTCTCTTCTCCCATGATAGTTTGACACGAGGCTTTACAGCAAGCGTCTTTCCAGAAATCGCCAATTTCACATGATTAGAAGCAGCGCTTAACCAACCAGAGTTTCCAGAAGCGGAATAACAATCTCGAGATGGAAGGAGTTTAGGAGAGGTCAGCTTGCTGGCAGGTTTTTGTGGGTAGTTCTTGCAAACATGAGCCCCAGTAGAGAAAGACATCGCCATTGCAGGCCTGAAACTTATTCGATGAAATGCAGAAAAAAACTGCAAGACACTATATATATATATATATATATATATATATATATATATGAAAAAGTGAAAGATAAAGAGTGAACGTTTTTGGGACATTTGCAAATAAAATATTATGTTAGCACGATATTTTTAACACGAGTATTACGACATCTTTTTTAACATGATTAGCATAGAATATACAAACATTATCATTTTTGGAATGTAGTATCCATATTTTATAATAATTGGTTATTGTCAATGCTTTACTTTTTCTACATCTTGAGTATATTACCCAATTATTTTTTTGTGTCGTAAAACACATAAATCTATAATAATAATAAAGTTATTATAATAATTTTAACTTTTATTTGGATCACATCAGATAAGATTCATTCAAATTTGATTCAGACCCTTCTAATTACACCATATCAGAACTTCAAAAAATTATATTAGAATCAACAAGACCAGGCAAACGGAACATGGCATAAGTCCTTTTTTGTACTCTTCTGATTGTGTTTTACATTGTTTGGTCATCGCACCACTGCGCTTTAAGGAACGTTGCTGATAGAGTACCTAGTATGTAGTCACATGAGAGGCTGTAATTAGTTTGATTTTATGTTATTAATGTTTGGCTCAGTCATTTAGGCGGATGATGAGATAAATGGAGATATTTTTCACTGTATTGGTGTTGCTTGGGCAAAGTGGAAGATGGCGTCAAGGGTTCTATGCGATAAGAATATCTCCTAAAGGATGAAAGATAGGTTGGGGCTATGCTTTATGGTGCGGAGTGTTGGGCTTCAGGAAAGTCCACATACCACGACCGTCAATTGCATGCAATAGTGATGTGGATGCTGCGGTGGATGTTTGGGCAGACGATGTTGGAAAAGATTCGAAACGAGGTTATTCAGAGACGCGTGGGAGTGGCACTTGTGGAGGATAAGATGCGAGAGGCTAGGTTGAGATGGTTTAGTCACGTGATGCAGCATGCAACTGAGGCCCTGGTGTGGAGATGCGAGAAGCTTACAAAAAAAGGTGGGATTGGGGGAAGGGGTAGACCTAGGAAGAATTGGAAGTAGGTGATTAGGCATGACTTAGGACTTCTGGCTCTTAGCGAGGATATGACCTAAGGTAGGAATGTCTGAGATCTAGGACTAGGACTAGGGAGGTTAGATAGTCGTTTGAACCGGCGTAGTAGTTTTATTCTTGTTGTTGCGTGTTGTGTGGGCTTGGGGTCTCTTTCCTAGCATCTAATTTTGTGCCTTGTCTTATCGCACTTTTCTTACCCTTAATTTGCTCTTTGATCTTTTTGTTGTGCTATCTGCTCTTTGCGCTCCTTGTATTGCTTGAGCTAGGGTCTCTTGGAAACAACTTCTCTACTTTTAGCTGTTTTGGGATTCTACTCGTTTATGTTGTTAATGTTTTTTCAGTAGAGTCAGTTAGGGTCATTTGTTTATTGGGTCAAATGTTTTATTTTAAATACTTTTAGTTGCTAAGTAGTTAGTGATGTGTAAGTGGGACTAAAATTATACGAATAGTTACTATGTAGTGTGTTAGTGGGCCTAAATTATAGGGATTTACAGTTATTTGGCTTCTATAAATAGAGGCTTTGTAACTCTTAAAGCCATCTAGTTACTATGCAGTGTGTTAGTGGGCCTAAATTATAGGGATTTATAGTTATTTGGCTTCTATAAATAGAGGTTTAGTAACTGTTAAAGCCATCTAGAAATTAATTCAATATTCATCAATGGAGATTCTTTTTGTTGCTTTATAAGATATGACGTTAAGATTCTTACTCATATTGTGATAAAGATTCTTCTTCATCTTTATTACTATATGGAGTTATATCTTGATCTCCTAATATGATAAAAGATTTTCCTTCCTTAATTGAGTTAATTCTCCCCGTCTATCTTGAGTTCTATCATTTGGTATCAGTATGATTTGCATCGGTTCTTTCCGAACAAACTTTATTTATCCCATCTCTTCATGCAATTTCACATCTAACCGTTACTCCCCTTACAAAGTACACAAATTACTTTACATTATAGCCCTCCTTGATTTCAATTATTTCAAATGGGAAGCATCGGAAAACCGAGGTTGATAAATGCTAGTCACAAATAAAAACGCCACAATGTTCACAAACTTGCCATTTGTGAATATAAATTTCCAGTTTTTTAATTATTCGAGACCATTTCTTTCTTTGTGGGTTCTTAAAGGGTAAGTTTGTGAATTTTTTGATTTTAGCATTTATTTTCGAGGTAAAGTTGTTCTTTTTGTGACACCACACAAAATAATCATTACTAGCAAATTCCATTCGGAGGTGAAAGGAAAGAAAATTTAAAAATGGAAGGGCAAGGCTGGATTTGTCGTAAGCCCAAATCCAATTCCTTTGCAGTGAACTGCTTCAATTCCTCTAGTCCAACAAGTAATTTCCCATGTGGTGACAAGGGGATTTCAAACGCAACACTAAGAGTCTACTCTTTAGAGCTTGAACTCTTAACTTCCAGTTCTTCCAGTTTCTTTTAGTTCCTTCCATTTTCTTCCGGTTTCCTAAAGTTGTTCTAGTTCCTTCCAGTTTTTTCTAGTTCCTTTCAGTTTTTTCCAAATCCTTCTAGTTTCTTCCTACTATTTTTATTTTCTTCAAACTTTTTCTACTTTCTGACAAATCACTCTAAAAACGATATACTATTATTATTATTATTACAACTATTAAGTTCATAACTATAGTTTATAGATTATTTCATTTTTTTTCATCTCGCTATTTTTTATGATTCACTCATTATTATTTTTTCTTCAAATTTTTAATATGAATAATGCTATTTTTTGTATATTAATCTACATGATAAATTAGGAAAACATCAATATTTGAAACTATTTAAAAAAATTATGGATAAAATAGTTACATAGAATGTTTTTAGTATTGTAAAAACTATACTACGTATTTAGTATCTTCAATTATGCTTAACTGCATTGTAGAATATTAACTGCTATTTCATCTCTAAACTGCTTCATTGCATCTTTAGTTTGTTCATCAAACAACATCACCTTGGGCCTATCTTCCGCTGTTTGCTGCCTCGGTGCAATTGGTATTCCTTTTCGATGAAGACGAATGAAATTGTGCATAGTGCGTGTTGCAATAACAATTTGAATTTGGTGCTCCTGTTTCATTTGAGGCATCCTATGGTGCAAAAGTAGTTTTTTTTGTGTATAAAAAATAACAATATTTTTTATTTTAAAGGCATTCATTAAGATAACGTGATGACAACAACAACAACAATTATAATGGTAATAATAATAATAATAATAATAATAATTTATAATAACAAGAATTAGAATGAGAATAATATAAAAATACACAAAAAAATTTAATTTTTTTTAGATTTTCTAATTTTTTCTATTTTTTTAGTTCTTTTTTAATTTTTTTTCCAATTTCTTCCAGTTCCTTCTAGTTTCTTCTAACATCCAGCTCTTTTTTTCCAGTCCTAAAGAACATGCTCTAAGTCAGTCCATCATAGTCCACACAATTGTGTTGTCTTCACAATGCCCCTCCATGATTTTGACTAGAGCATCTCTCTTGGACGATGATTGGCAACAACAATTTGAGCAGGGATTGCTCTTCAAGCGCAAAGGGACGATTAGAGCAAAGGGATGATTAGTATAGGTTCCCTCAGTCAAGCCTCTCCATTCTCACTTATAAAGTTTGCTATCGAATGAGACAAGATTTTGACACTAAGTGCTGATGATAGCTAACATTTACACCATTCTACACAATCACAAACAAAGCTTCATTAAACCTTGCTACATTGCTTTGATCTAATTCATATGGATAGTGGCTCCATGCATCAATTTATACTTGAAGTTGTGATGTCATATTTGCACCCTTTTATCCAATGCTCTACTGCTATATTTAGAGTTGCTGATTATATATTGTCTTCCTACCACCGATATGTACACTTCCGGACATACAAAGACACTATTGCCTAGGTTTAGCCTTGAGCACAAGGCTGATTTTGAAGGAGGGGATAATGATAGGGTACCCAGTGTGCAGCACACAAGAGACTTTAATTATTTGAGTTTATGTTATTAATATTTATTTAGTAGAGTCAGATAGGGTCATTTGTTTATTGCATCAAATGTTCTATTTTAAATATTTTTAGTTACTGAGGTGGAAAGTAATGTGTAAGTGGGACTAAATTCTAGGAAAAATTACTAAGTAATGTGTTAGTGGGCCTAAATTCTAGGGATTGGTAGTTAATTGGTCTCTATAAAATTGAGGTGCATTATCTGTAAAAGTCTGCGTACACACACCCTCCCCACCCTACTGTAGTGGGATTCAACTGGGATGTTGTTGTTGTTGTTGTTGTATCTGTAAAAGTCATCCATAAACTAATTCAGTAATTTATCATTGGAGATTCTCCTAGGGCTTTATTAGATATGAGTTTAAGATTTTCCTCCATCTTTATTATATTATGGAATTAGAATTTGATTTCATAATTTGATAATGATTTTCCTTCCTTAATTCGCCTTGCCTATCTTGAGTTACATCAGATGCATTGTGCAGGTCTTGAACAAGATTGATCTTCCTTGTGCTGAACCAAGCCGCGTTTCACAAGAAATAGAAGAGGTTGGTATGGATTATATGCAAATATGGAGGGTGTAAGGCTTTTATTTAAAATTAAAATCAATTGAAAAGTTATGAGCAGGAATAAGGCTTTTATTTAAACCATTGTTGCCGAAGATAAAAAATTATAAAGCTTAATTATGCTATGTTCATGTGTGACATTGCTTTCTTCATGTAAGGATATTGGTCATGAAGTAATAAATAAGATATTGAACCGGCTTAGCTATTTTTCATTCTCAGATTGTTGGGTTGGACTGTAGCAATGCAATCCTATGCTCTGCAAAGGTTAGTTCTATTTTCTTGTTTTGCCATTATTTATATCTGCTTAGAGAAAACATGTGATATTCCATTCCACGAAGAGAGGGATGAAACTGACATATCATAGTATGGGATAATATTGAAACGCGAATGCATTTCTCTCATTCTCTTCCCAATCTTTTGTGTTTTGTGTATATGTGGGGTAGGTTCCAACTTCCAAGCTAGCTTCTCATGATTGGGTCCTTTTTTGACAATTTATATATTTATCTAGGAAGGAATTGGCATTAT